ACAGACACGCTCCTCTCTCAGGTCAGCCATCGCAAAACCACAAGGTCACAGAAACACAATGGAAATATGTTCACCAACAATAAACCCAACCACTCAACTCGACGCCGCTTGCCACACTGATTCAAGAAGGGTGTATGGGGAGACACGTAGCGGTATTTCGATGTACTCATTACCATTCGCACTCAAAATTCAAATTTCGGTAACTTTTGGATTGCCCCACATACATTATGAATATGTTATTTTTCTCTTCAGTGTTGGTTGTTTATTTCTCCCAATACTTCTATCTCTTGTTATGGTGTTTAACACCATGTTCTAAATATTGCTCTCTTTATGCATATGTTTTAACAGCAGCGTGAATCACCATATTATATAGTGGAATCTATCCAACAACTCACAATTGTCATAAAGATTCTTACAAAAGATTGAATGATATAATAATACATTTGCATTCCTCCACCATTACCTTCATTATATTGGTCTGAGAGACCCAGAATCAGTTGGAATGGCTTGTTACATTACATTAAAGTCATATGTGTTTCTTTGTAAAATACCTTCATATTGGAGAAATGAATAATATTAAAGTTTTAGGAGGCAGTTTCCTGGACACAGTCGACATTCAGGTTCAGAATATTTTGAAACCATGGAGTCAGTAGTAGTATTGGCCTTCTTATAAACATTTAACTTCAGGTCGAGCATCAATCGAGCAGTCCAGCCAGTATCCAGACAGTTTGCAATACATTCAGCAACTCGAAGATTATTCACGTTACCAGCGTACTGAAAGTGTGGATGAAACTTCTTCCCAACGACCATTATTCATCCGACCACTCCAGGATTTGGGGGAGTTGCAGGAAGGGCGCAATGCCCACTTCGAAGCACAGCTTACCCCGGTCAGTGATCCGACCATGAAAGTGGAGTGGTACAAGGATGGTAGACCAATTACAGCAAGTGAGTAATATTTCTGCAATATGCGTTATTTACCTTTCATGATAGCAGACATTTAAACAAATGTGGAGGTACCTCAGCCTGTAGTGGCATGTTTACACTTCACTTTCATGAAAATGCATATGTGATATGGCAAGTGGTCTCAGAGGTTTACCTAGGACAAGTAACTTGCAGGCCAAAGTACTGAACTGATAGTTTGTTTACATTGTGTGAGCATATTGTACAATCATAATTATTGAGAGAGTAGTTTTTTTATTCATGCTATCATGAAATTGTTATATTTTTCATGCAAATAAAATGAAGTGTTGACTAAATTTATGTTCAAAATATAAGCACCTTCAGAAGCTGTTTCCGTTAGGTATATGGCAGTACATGTAATTTTTAGTAAAGTTTAGAGTTTCTTACATGGAAAAAGACATTCAAAATGAATTTATTTTATATTTAATAATGTATTTGTTCACTTCTTGTCCATCTACTTCATATTAATTAATTGTTCTAATGCTGAGATTGTGGCTATTAAATTTGTTGACACTAAGAACCTGAAGACTGACCAATTGAAGTATTGGTATCAGAAAATATAAACCTCAGATCTTAAATACAGGCTCTCGTATCACCACTATCTTCAATTTCGGATACGTCTCCTTGAACATCCTGCACCTACGGGTTGAAGATGCTGGAACATACACCGTGAGAGCTGTTAATCATCTGGGAGAAGCAATTAGCACATCCACTCTACGAGTTTATGGTAAGCAATTTCAAGAATGTAAACAACTAGCAAATATGAATTAAATGTTAAAGAATTTAAGAAGTATTCCATGAAACCTAGAATACTTACTGAATAGAACGTCTATGGTTAACCATTTGTCACAACATTTAAATTCACTGTACCTTCACCCTTTCAGACTGGTTATTAGAAATAACTTTTATATGAAGGTGGCATAACAGAAAAAGAGGGATTGTTGTATTGTTGTTCTAGATGTTGGTACAAAATTGGAATTGTATTAAAGGTATTTTCTCTTTGTGTCACCGCAGCACGAAGTAGTGTGACTGGAGACCTGGGAATTCCTGAGCAGCAGCGTTACATTGAAAAGGTTGAGGAGCTGGAAGCTTACCAGCAGCAACAACAGTACAAATATGTGCAAGAAGTGCCTGAGAGCACTGCTCCACCTGAGTTCAAGTCACCCATCAAGGATCAGACCAACATCCGTGAGGGTGCATTTGCCCATTTTGAAGCTAGGCTTGAACCTATTAGTGACTCGACACTCCAAGTGGAGTGGCTCAAAGATGGCCGTCCGGTTGAAGCAAGTATGTATTCATTACTTCAGTTCTCAAATTTAATTGTGTGAAAATATGACAGATTAGATTAAATGAGATTAAATATAATTTACGTTAAAAACATAATTGAATATGAGCAGTATTGGAATCATGATCAGATGTGATAGTTTGAACCAACAATATTCCATTTGCATTCATACTACAGTTCAATATTGCTTTAAGACGTATGTATATATGATCATTTTTAGTGATTTTTATTATCTTCTGGTTAATATTTCAAAGTCAGTAGCGTTCTCCGTTTCTACTGAATATATATAAGCAACAATCATATGCAGTGTTTCATACTCATATATTTAGCTGATGGTATTAATGAATTTTACTATACATTAATGATCTTACAGGAAACGTTCAAGGAGCAAAGCTGGTTTTATATGCAGATGATACAAATTTGTTAATTACTGGAAAAGATGAACTTGACCTTCAATATAAAATAATGAATGTTATGAAAGAATTAGAAATATGGTTTCAAAAAAATAACCTTGTAATAAATACTAAAAAGACATCTGCCATGTCATTTCATTCAAAACAGCGGAGAGATCCGTTAAGACCACAAATAGTTTTTAATAATACAGAAATAGTATATCAGTCAGAATTGAGATTTCTTGGAATTCACATGACAGAAACCCTAAAATGGTGCGCTCATGCTCAGTTTCTAAAAGCANAAATTTTTAATACAAAGTGTTGTACACTATTTTCAATTTTTTGTTTTTTAATTTTGATGCGTACTGCAAAAATTGTTTNTTCAGGTGTATTCATGCACGCTAAACTATTGTACTGCATGCCATAATGTCTTCATCCTAAAATGACTAAATCTGTATTCGTCATATAGGATGATGAATTCTAAATAATAAAACTTTTCAGGATCCTTCCTACGTCGCACTCAAACACGCGAATTATGCCAATCCTTTTTTATGTGAGCATTCTTCCGACATATATTTGTGTTGTAACAACGCATGCAGTAACAGGAGCAAAACACAACACAGAACACGATACACAAATATATGTAGGAAGAATGCTCACATAAAAGAGGATTGGCGTAATTCGCGTGTTTGAGTGCGACATAGGAAGGATCCTGAAAAGTTTTATTATTTAGAATTCATCGTCCTATATGATGAATACAGATTTTAGTCATTTTAGAATGAAGACATTATGGCATGCAGTACAATAGTTTAGCGTGCATGAAGACACCTGAAGATGGCACATTAGTGCTGAAACATGTAGTGTGGAAGTGAAGAATAAGGCAAAAAAAAAAAAAGAGTCCATATACGATAAAAATTATTTATTTTTCGAATTTTGAGTCATGTATGAGAAATGGTATCTTATTGTGGGGTGGGGATGGGGAAAGTAAAAGCATTTTTAAATTGCAAAAGTGGGTTCTTCGAGTGCTTAGTGGTATCAGTAGTAGCACGTCATGTAGACAAATTTTTAAAGATTACAATGTTTTAACATTGCCTTCTCTGTATATATTGGAGGTAACATGCTTTATAAAAAAATACAAGGCTTTTATGGCAATAAATTCAGACATTCATAATTATAACACACGAAAAAAATTAAATTTTCATGTACAGCACTGTAATACAGCTCTTTGTAAGAGGAGTGTGATAACTATGGGAATTAGTTTGTATAATAAGGTCCCCAATCAAATAAAACAAAGGGAAAATTTTAACTCATTTAAAAAGGAATTAAAATCTTTTTTGCTGAAACGTTCCTTTTATTCTGTAGATGAATTAATGTCTTTTGATTCATCAAGTGTGTAAATGTAATATGTAGCTGATTAATTTGTTTTATTTTGTGTAAAGACAATGAAATTAATGGTAATTAGATCTAGATAATATTATTCAGATGACAAACCCCCTATATTAGGGTGGTACAGTGTATTCTGTAAAGATACGCACTAGAATCTGACAATTTCCCTATCCAAATGGTTGTAATACCTGTATGTATGGATTGTTGAATGATAATAAAAATGAAAAAAAAAAAAATGAAAATTGAGTGAAAGGTTCCCTGGTTTCATATAAAACCTGTAAAATATGTAATGTTGATTTAGCCCTTGTCTCAAATTGTTATAAATGAAGTTGTTACATTTAATATCTTCACATTATCAACTTTTAACTCACATTTATTCTCTTCTGTTATCATTAAGTTAGGAACAGACTGAATGCTGGGATTTTCAGAGTAATGCTGCTTGGCAAAAACATTTTGAGTGTAGCACAATGTTGTTTTGGAAGCATCTCCAGGGCGGAAAATTGAGTTAGTAAATTTCTTCTAAACATCAGAAATGGCTTCCAAAACAACACAGTACAACAACGTAAATATCGAACTGAAGGAAGTAATTGCATGTTTTTAATTAATATTCTATTGCTGAACTCTGTTAACAGAATGGGTATGAAGGCCTTAAAAATTCTTCATAGTCAGCAAAATTGGATTGTGTTCATTAATGTGTCTTTACTTACAGGTTCTCGAATTACTACTTTCTTCAACTTTGGATATGTGGCCTTAACAATCAAACATGTGACTACTCATGACATTGGTGTCTATACGTGCCGTGCGTACAACCGACTGGGACAAGCATCCACTTCAGCTCAACTAACTGTTGTTAGCAAGAAGGATATCATTTTAGACAGCCAGCATCCTGGTGGACTCGAAAAGATTCAGTACCTTGAAGATGCTAGGTGAATTTTATTGACATGAACACTCTTGTAGCAAACTTTTTCTTGGAGTCAGAATAAACATTTTTTATGCAATCACTTTTGTTCTTCTTTTCAGCCGTTACAGTCGCAGTGTGCAGGAGGAGAGTGCTGTAACTCAGAAACCGAGGTTCTTGGGACCCCTTAAGGGAACAAACAAAATTGTAGAAGGACAAAGGGCTCATTTTGAAGTCAGAGTAGAACCACAAAATGATATGACCTTACAGGTTAGTGAAATTTTATTTAATCCTAAATATGTATCGTGGATTTCATTTTTTATGAAGCTCTTACAAATTTATTCAGAAGTACTTGTACCTTGCTGACTGCTCTGGGTTACTCCAAACTGTTCTATTTTACCAGTATAGAAAGAACTCTATGTTACTAAGGATGATATTAAGCCTATTTTGTTTTTTATTACTTACAAAATCAACAGCTTGTGAACCTGAATTATCATTTTGGCCCTAATTTTTTGTAATTAATTTGTCAAACATTACAGAGTTGTCATACCAATATCAGTCACACTAAGAATGATATCATATTTATTACAAAATTTAAGTCTATAGTTAGTAATCTTTTTCTAGGCCACATCATAGCTCAAGCGGTTAGTCGCTGGCTTCCCACTGCTGCGGCCTGGGTTCAATCCCGTGTCTGGCAATCTTCATTCCACCAATTGCTCCACAATCACCCTCACCTATCATCTGGGGCTGGTACAATAGGCCAGAAGTGGCCGCAGTACAAGGGACTTAGTCCCACCCTACTAGCAATAAAAAAATAAATAAAAAAAATCTTCTTTCAGATTGAGTGGTACTTCAATGGCAGAGTTATTCAGAGTGCTAACAGGATCCAAACATATCATGATTTTGGCTACGTTGCCATTGACATTTTGAGTGTACGCTCAGAGGATGCTGGAACTTACACAGTTATTGCTAGAAATGCACTTGGAGAGGCACAGCTGTCAGCAACAATGGAAGTAGAAGGTTAGTGAACACAATTATTATCAAATTTCGATTTCACATATTTTATATTTATGTTGGTCGACACATCTTAGATATTAAAACCGTGGTCAAATCTTGTAGCTTACTCATACTTTCTTCACGTTTTACAAAGCAAAAATGGAAAGCTGGTTCTTTCAGCTTCCAGTTTCCTTGCTTCTGACTTTCAGTTTTCCTTATAGAGAAACTTTTAATGTTTTTATCACTGATCATCCTATCTGTTGCACCAGTCTCTCATAGTTTAGATGTTTCTACCCTCTTTGCAGCAAATGAAGTAGTAATGTCCGTGTAAATTCTGAGGAGGGGTAACAAAAAGTTAAAAAACCAAAAGACAAGAAATTGTACTTACACTTACAATACTGCAAGTACTTTTTACAAAAGACTGACTAAAATGTAGTATTGCAATTAACTTGAAGTTTCTGCATGTTACTGACCATTATATATTTAAAATTCTGATTATTTTAGTTTTCATTAATAAATCTCCGCTTCAGAATCTTGTACCTGTATGCCATAACTTAACTCTGTGGTTTTAGTCTGCAAGTGAACTACACTGACCAAGCGACCGCCACTTGTCGGCGAAGTTAGTGCCAACTTTAGTGGATAGAGGGTGTCGCATGGTCAGAGCAACAAATCCCCATGGCATTTAATTTCGGTTTTCTAGACTGGAACCCCTGTTTCCTTGAAGTAGCTCCTCAGTTATCCTTACGAGATTGAGTGGACTCCATTCCAGACCCACTACTTCTCAGGAAAAATGTTAACGCCGGGAGTTGAACCCGGACCTCTGGATCTGTAGCCAGGAACTCTGACCACTAGACTACAGAAGTGGTTGCCTGTATGTTATACAGAATTAAATCAGCCCACTTTTATCACTTCACAATTACAGTTTTTCATGAGATGCTCTCCATTATTGTGGTTAACAAATTTATATTGAAAAATTGTGTTGCAGTGCGCTCCAGTATTGATACCACCAGCATGCACCGCTCAACAATGGAGAAGACTCAGCGCCTGGAAGGCTCAAAGTTTGTTGAGCCACATTATCACATTGAGGAAATTTCAAAGTCAAAGCCAATCTTTGTGCAGCCACTTTCTGACCCAAAACCAGTTATTGAAGGAAAGAATATTCATCTGGAATGTCGGCTGGAACCAATGGGAGATCCTACCATGCGTGTTGAATGGTTCTACAATGGCCGACCAGTCACTGTTGGTAAGTAAAGTTGCTTATGAAGTAGTTACTATAATCTATAAGCAGTAAGAGACTTGTGATATCATGTTGCTGAACAGATTGATAGGTTGATATTGCTTGGAACTTGCATCTGGGATTTTCTGATTAGAATCTCAGCCAGGGATTAGATATTGTGATGGAAGTTTTTATATCTTTGCCTTGAACCATTTTGTAACTACTATCTCCATAAAATAAACAAATTTTATTATGTCCATTTTGCTGTTTCCTCTTTGTAATGGCTTTTCAGACAACTGGTTTTATAAATTGGTGATGATATTTGAGTTCTCACCATTCTCATACAGTACAATTACAAGGTGGTTCAAATATGACCAGGACTGATTTTTTTTTTAAACCAGAATTGCCAAACACTTACTTGCACATGTCAGTCTTCAATGTACTCCCCTCCAGAGTCAACACATTTTTTCCAACGTTCTGGAAGCATCCTGATGCCCATTTCAAAAAAGTTTTGTGGTTGGCGGCATATCCACTCCCGAACATTCTGGATGACGGTGTTGTCCACAAACCACATGCCTTGCAAGTCTGATTTGAGCCTTCCGAACAGGTAGAAATCACATGGTGCCAAATCGGGACTGTACGGCGGATGTGTCAGAAGGTTCCATTTCAATTTCCGGAAGGTTTCCATTGTTGTTTTGGCCGTATGGGGGCGTGCATTATCTTGAAGGAAGGCTACCCACTTTGCACCTCTCTTCTGCTTGGATCGGATCTTTTCCTTCACGTCTGTTGCCAGGAGGTCTGAGTAATAAGCTGCATTGACTGTTCTGGCATCTGTCAGAAAGTCTACATGGATAACCCCCTGCCAGTCCCAGAAGAACGTTGCCATCACTTTTCCTGCCGAACGGCTCCTCCGCGCTCTCTTGGGTTTGGGAGAACTGGTATGCTGCCACTCGCGTGATGATTGCTGGGACTCGGGAATGAAGTAGTGCACCCATGTTTCATCGGTGGTCACTACAGACTTCAAAAATGCATCAAACTTCTGTAGGAGACGACTGGCAACTTGCGTGCGCACCATTTTGTTCACGTCCGTCAAAGTGAGTGGTACCCACCGTGCATTCACCTTGCGATAGTGCAGGTGGCATTTCATGATGTCTTCTACACTGCCAACACTGATGGACAGCATTGCTCCAAGTTCGTTGATAGTGATGCGCCTATTCTCACGAATAAGTGTGTCTGCATGATCAATGTTTGGCTTGGTGACGGGTGTTCGCGGCCGACGATCATGCGGTTCATTCTCCACGCGCTCTCTGCCCTCTCTGAAGCACTTACACCACTCAAACACACGGGTCCGTGAGAGACACTCTTCCCCATACTGTTGTTGGAGTCTGTGGTGAATTTCAGGGGACGGGACGTTTTCTCCAATGAGCAATTTGATCACAATGCGTTGTTCCACGCTCCGCGGTACCGTCTGTTCACTCATCATTCTAGCAACTCCCAGACAGGACTGAACAGGTTCTAACTTGAACAGGAGGGAGGNGTGGAGGTTGTGGCTTCACTCTCTCAAGGTCACACAGCTGCTGTGCAGTGCGGCTTGTTTACAAAAAATCAGTCGCAGTCATATTTTAACCACCTAGTACTTATTCTGATGTCAGTTGAACTCCAACTCAGGAGCACTGGTAGTGTTGTTCAGATATGGCTTTTGTTAAAGTAACTGTTGCATAATGTTGAGTGATGTAATGAACATTTTTGTGTATTCACAAGTTTTACTGTACCAGATCATAAATATTTCTTTTATGCTTGAAAACCATTTCGAACAGGAGGATTGTGCAGTTTTGCTGTTTTAAATTTTATGCCAGTGCCATTTTTTATGTTGCTTGCCTACCTATTGGGTCAAAATTCTTCTCAGGAGATCTTTTTGTGTGTTAAATATTGCATTTCTATTGTAAAGAGTTACTTAAAATAATGACTGAATGTAATAAGCTAAACCATACTGAATATTTTTTACCATTGCAGGATCACGTTTCCGTACTTATTATGATTTTGGATTTGTTGCTTTGGATATTATCCATGCTACTTCACTGGATTCTGGTGAATACACCGTAAGAGCTACAAATCATCTGGGATCTGCTCACACATCTGCTTGTGTGAGGGTAAGAGCTGCTTTATATCAATTTGGTGATTATTGTACATTCATACTCTTAATTATAGCTATTAGTAAGAGTAATACTAATAATATGCTCTTGATGGCATACCTTTGTAGGTAATTGGTAAATCAGACATTCTGACAGACAGCCAAAATGAAGCTGCATTAGAACAGATCCAGATGCTTGAAGATTCTTCTCGCTACCGGAAACATGTGACTGACGACATAACTATTGTGCAACCACCTCAGTTTACAAGACCACTGCACAACATGGAAACTGTTGAGGGAACTAATGTTCATCTGGAATGTCGTTTGCAACCTGTTGGTGACCCCACCATGAGAGTGGATTGGTTTGTTAATGGAAGACCAGTTCCAACAGGTAAATATAATGATTTGTTAGGATACCACAGTTTGCAAAACACTAGCTAGGTTTTTTGACATTGATGTTTTCAGTTAGTCATCTGTGTCTCGAACCTCTGCAGTGTTACTAGTAAGCTGTTCTTTAGGTTGTTCAACTAAGGTTGAGAGTCGTTGAATATTGCTCATACTTTACAAATATCCTGGTTTTAAGTTTGTTTTCAGTGGTATTCTACATATAATTCTGTGCTCATACCTTCTGGTGGAGTAGTGGACAAAGTAAAGAAACTAATGAGCAATATTTGGACTGGTTACTAGCCATGTTGTTGAGTTGTGGCTGCTGCGTGTCACATGACAGTCACAACAAACAACACAGCTAGTCACATAACAAACAAAAACATACTTATGTTAAATGCTGCCATGAGCTAAATAATTTTTTGTGTATGATACACTATAACCATACATTAATCTCAATGGCATGACACAAAAACCATATGCAATGAATGCTTCAGGGAAAACATTTGCCACAAAATTAGTTGCATCTCAGCTTATACCACCAATGCAGGATAAAAAGAAAAATGCACCTAACCTGTGAATTCTGCCAGATATCAAATTGTTCCTCAGATGAACTCTACCAAGGATTAGATACAGAATAAAGTATCAGGAAACAAAATATTGAACCCATATCACTACATGTTATATTTCACCCAGCAGTTTTCCAATACATTGTAAAATTTATACATGATTATTTATTTTATCTTGCATTTTATGTGTTAGGTATGAACTCAACGGAACTGGATGCAGGTTCTGTCTGCAAGGAAGTCAACAGTATGCTGTTGACTGAGATGTTTCTGTTTACATTGTACACCTTATAATGATCAGTAGTTAATGAAAACATGTCAGGAGTGATATGTAATATAACAGTTAGTTGGTTACCATTGAAGTACATCTGTGAATGCTGCATAGATGATTAATAAACATGTACACATATTTGTTATTCATTTCAGAAGTAAGGCATACCCTTGGTACAACCTAATTACCCTTCACACAGCTACAGGCTTCTGGCGCATTACTCATGCTCTCATTACAATACTTCACAGTATAGGTGTCCGTCAGAGACAAACAGAGGATATGTGCAGGAAGCAAGCACTCAAAAATCGAAACTCAAAATGTATATGTAATAAAAGAGTTAAAATTAAAATATCCTTTTGCTTTCTAATCTAATGATTTTCTTTTCCGCCTACAAGGTCACCGATTTCGACCTGCATATGACTTCGACTATGTTGCTCTTGATTTGCTGAGTGTCTACCCTGTAGATTCAGGAGTTTACACCTGCCAGGCACGAAACGGGTTAGGTGAAGCTGTGACCTCTTGCTCTGTCAGGGTCATTGGTAAGTAGTCTCATTATTTGAAATTTTGGATTTAGAATTCACAGACACTTCCAAGAAATTGATGAGCATGATGCTGGTTGCTTTATCTGTACTGCGTGATTTGTTGGTATCATAGTGGATACAGTAAATAACACCAAAATATTTTGGTCAAGTAGTTATTGCTCTTGCTTCATACGTAGGTCATACCGAAAGTCATGAGCAACTTTTTTTGCATGCAACCTGGGAACAGCAGACAAAAGATAGTACGGTGGTAGGTGGAACCAGCTGTTGTGTTAACCTTGAGTGTCTTGTTACGTCAATTGCTTGCATCACATGACCAGTGTCACTAACAAAATGGCCAACAATGATATGTCATTTCACCGGCATGCTGTCATCGAATTTCTTGTGAAAGAGGAAATCCCTGCTGCAGAAATTCACCAGAGACTTCAGCATGCTTATGGAAGTGTGTGCATGGGTGCGAGCAGTGTTCGAAGATGGGTGAAACATTTTAAAGATGGGAACACCAGTATCGAACATGAGCCTTGGGGCGGTCGTCCTCGAACAGCCTCAACTGAACGCAACAAGGAAAGCGTGGATGAGATCATTCAAGATGACAGGCATGTGACTGTGGACAAAGTAGCCCGAAAACTTGAAATAGGGCACGGTGTAGTACATGAGATGATTGAAAGCTTGGGCTGTAGGAAAGTTTGTGCTTGTTGGGTCCCATGGTTATTGACCGAAGACCACAAAAGTCAGCGAAAAGCCATCAGCTCAGAACTGCTGCAGAGATACCGACACGAAGGCGATGATTTTTTGCTCTATATTATGACAGGTGATGAAAGCTGGTTTCACCATTTTGAGCCTGAAACAAAACGGCAGAGTATGGAATGGCACCATTTGCATTCTCCATAAAAAAAGAAGGCAAAAGCAGTGCCATCAGCTGCGAAGGTGATTGGCACAGTCTTGTGGGATGCAGAGGGGTTTATTCTGGCCGAATTCCTGGAACCTGGGCAAACCATCAATGCCGCTCGTTATGTCCAGATGCTGCACAAGCTCTGTCGTGCATTGTGCGATAAACATCCGTCATCCTGCATGACAACACTCATCCCCACACTGTTCGCCTCACATTGGAAGCAACTGTAAAGATGGGGTGGGAAGTTCTTCCACACCCCTCCTATAGCCCTGATCTGGCACCCTCTGACTACCATCTTTTTGGATTTGTGAAGGATCAGCTGCGTGGACAACGTTTTGGTACAAGGGAGGTAATTCAGAAAGCAGTGCATCAGTGTCTGTGGATGGCTGGAATGGAATTTTACAGAAGGGGAATTTTCAAACTCCCAGAACGCTGGGAGAAATGTATACAAAGAAGTGGCGATTATGTGGAAAAATAAAGAAAAGTCTGTAGATTGAGGTGGTGTATTTGGTTTGTCAATAATAAAGCATGTTACTTTACAAAAAGTATGACCCTCATATTTGGGACATTCTGGGTTTGATTCTGAGCCCAGATACCAGCTGTTCTGTAGTGTTTTATGGTTTCATTCAGTATTTCTTGTGAGATGTTAAGATAGTACCTGAAAATAGTCCATGGCCATTTTCTTCCAGATTTGCTCAAGTTTATTATTCATACAATCATCTTAACACATGATGTTAAATAACCTTACACATTTCAAAAGCATCGCTGTGTAACTGAAGCCTCAGTCAACCAGTAATTAACTTACTTCCAACCACAGAGAAAATGTTTGGGTGCTTAGAAATTGGTTATGATCGTTTTCGCACTTTTTACATCCCTGCAGAGCATTATTGAAATAGCTCTGTCTATCAATCTCTGTGCATGAATACACTCCAGCAGTGCTGAACAGATTTTCATGAAACATTACATTTGGTAGTTTTACTAAAATTTATCGGTACAGTCTAATTTTGATTAAAATTGTCAATAATAACCATTACATATACATGTTTATGCACTCATCTCTAGTGTAACTCACATGTAGCTAGCAATTTATTTATCACAGTGAAAAATTATTTGCAACTTATGAAGGTTATTCGGAAAGTAACATATTTTTATTTTAAGCAACTAATGTAAGAGTGGCAGAAACCTCATGTATGCAAATTACATTCCTCATTGCCTTATAAACCATCACATAACTGGTCACCTAGTGTTTGTTCTTGCCTCTACAGATGAGTTTTGATGTTTCTTACTATTGATAATCCTGCCAGTAGTGAAATTCACACTGCTGTCCACTTTCTTCATGCTAAAACATGAGGGCTACGGAACTCCATTGTGAATTATATGCAGTTTATAGCCAAAATGTAATGAGTGAAGAAAATGTAAGCCAGTGGTGTAGAATGTTCACAAACTAGAGCGAAGTGGTTGGCCATCTGTAGAGAATGATGATACTGTTCAAAGTGTTGATCAAAAAATTTGTGAAAGATGACACTTCACAATTTCAGAACTTCATGTAAATTTCCATAAATTTCACGCACTGTTCTCTAGGAGATTATCACAGTTAGCCTAGGCTATTACAAGTTTTGTGCAAGATGCTCATGGGTGTGCACAAAACACAGAGAATGGCTTTGGCTTTGACTTGTTGTAGAGCGATACCACAAAGGTGGTGATGAATTTCTCAGTCACGTCGTATGAGTAACAGGTGATGGAACCTGGGTTTCATTTGTGAATGTTGAAATCAAAGAGTAATCAAAGCACTGGACGCACACACATTCACCAAACAAGCCAGAAAAGTTTAAAGAAACATTGTCTGCCAGAAAGCTGATGACAGCTGTTTCCTGGGACAGGAAAGGGGTGCTGCTGTTGAAATTCATGCAACAAGGGACCACAATGTCAAGTTTTTTGTGAAACACTATAAAAACTGTGTAGGGCCAGCCATTCAGAACAAAAGGCATGGGATGCTGACATCTGGTATAGTGCTCCTCCATGACAACATGCGTCCGCATACTGCTGCTCACACTCGGGCATTTCTGGAACATTTCAACTATGAGTTGTTTGACCACCCTCCTTACAGCCATGATCTTGCTCCGAGTGACTACCACCTGATTACCTATATGTAGAACTGGTCGGGATCACAGCACTTCAGCAATTATAATAATTATTTTGTTGCTTGGTTTGTTAACATCTCACCATAGGTTACTTTCCAAATGGTCCTCGTATAAAGGAAAATGAGGCACATATTGTGCCCAGTGCACTTTTTCTGTAAATCCTACAGTTTTTTGAGATAAGCAAATATGTCTTTCATACTCTTCCTAACTTGGTAATTTTTTTTAAAAGTACATGCTTCTACTCCATACATATTAACCATCATGTTACATTTTTGCTTTAGTTTAACTGTAATTTTAAATTGTAAAATTTTAGTTGTTGAACATTAGGTGTCAGTTTGGAATTCAGGCTTACATATTGTAGTGTATGGAGCAGTTACTAGGCAACAACCGTGAGATAAGCAAATATACCAGAGCTATTACTGGGTCATGCTTGCAAGAAAACATGTCTCCACAGCAACGAATCAATACACGACAGTAGTGGAACTCTTGGAAAAGGTTTTATCTATGGTGGTCTATGCCGGAGAGTTGTAAGCAGGATGAAGTGAAAACTTAGTTCAATGAGAGAGGACTTGAGCACAAAAGCAGAGGAATAGCCATTGTTGGAGCTGTTACCAGTCAACTATTGTGAAGACACTGCAGGCTGGAAAAGACTTAGTGTGTATTCTTAGTGATTTGTGAAGTGTGGAAATTAGCCATGGCACTATAAGGGTCCGATAAATCCAACCTGCAATCCAAAACCTATCTGTAATCACTCATATACGTGACAGTATTATAAGTAAAGTTTGGTATATTTATTTGTATTGTGGTTATGTATGTGTATGTTGACATTCTATCAGACTGTCATGAAATTTGAGTAGTTAGACTGCAAAGGTAGCAGCATTGGAATCTTTGTAGTCCATAAATGGCCGGGAGCTTCTTAACCGACTGAGTGGTAGCATCTGAAGAGGGTCTCTGCTGCATTGGTTTAGTTACTTGGTTTGTTTGTTCTTATCAGATCATATATGACCCAAACACATTTTTCTTGTTTCAGCCAAGAAGGATCTTATACTTGATTCCCAGCACCCATCAGGATTTGAGAAGATCCAATACCTTGAAGATGCTTCTAGGTACAAGAAGTCTGAGTACATAGATGAAGTGGTGAACATCAAACCTCGCTTCCTTACCAAACCTAAAAGCTTGGAAAACATGAGAGAAGGGCAACATGCTCACTTTGAGTGCAAGTTAGAACCTGTTACTGACTCCAATTTGAAAGTTGAATGGTATAAGAATGGCCGACCAATTACAGTTGGTAAGTGTAGAGTTTGTTATAAAACATGCTCACAAGTGCCTCTTTCTATAAAGTGTAAATTCTTTAGTACTTCTGTCCTGACACTTGACAAGCTTGACTTCTAATGGAAGAAGAATTTAGCATATGTTTTATGAAACAAAATAAAAACACAAACAAGGAAGAACTGCATATGCTAATATTATTTATAAACATTAAGTATGAATGGAGAGTAAATTAGGTTTGGATATGGCTGACAAATCTCAACTTCTTTGAGCCTGAAACCATTAACACAGAATTGAAGTTCTTGGAAATGGGGACATCTCATACTGAATTGAACTCCTTATAGTCTTGAATCTCTACCAGAGAACTGAACATCATGCAGTTTGGAACTTTGTAAAATTCCTTTGATTCACTGTTATTGCATTTTTATTGTGTTCATCATAGAAGCCTTCAAGACTGAAACTAGGATACACATGTTGTCATTTTCAATTGCTGGATGTGATAACAGCTGTTTCCCTTTGCAGGCCATCGCTTCCGTCCAATTCATGACTTTGGTTATGTGGCTCTGGATATAATTGACCTGATTGCTGAAGATTCAGGGACGTATACGTGTCGTGCTGTCAATCTGGTTGGAGCAGATGAAACTACTTGTACCCTGATCTGCCGAAGTAAGAGATATCAGAATGTTTATTCTGCTGTAGATAGCAATATATATATATATTGTCACGTGTTGGGTATGTGATGCAACAAATAACTTCACGCCATCTTGGATGTAGCAAATTTATTCGACTTGCTCTTACACTTACACAATTACTGCCATCAGTATCACAATTACTTCTCGTGCTGGAGTCACTGCCATGCACTTGATACAACCCAACTCGTAGCTGCTGGACTTCAATTCGTACTGTATACTAGTAACCCTGGTACTAGTAACTGGCTCAATACTCACTACTTATGAATAGTGTTCGCTGTTCCTTATTTAGGCTCAGCATGGAAAACATAGAGAATACCTTGCTGCTCGGCAACAGATATCAGGTATTGTTGTTAGGTGTTTCTACTTACACATTGCGTATGAATAGTCGCTGCATGGACTCGCCTGTTGTGTGATGTCACAGCCTAGCGGGGAGGGATGTTTACCGAGTGTTGCATAATGATGGAAGGAGTGGGGGTATGAGACGTCACTTGCGAGAATGCAGAGTTCATGTGACCCCTACTTCCTGTTGCACCATCCATGTCACAGTGTTAATGTAATCAATTCTTTTAACAGTCTCCATACTGCTGTATTATTTCTTTGCATTTGCTGTAACTGTGACCATCAAATATAGATTTTTTCTCATCTACAATTTTTGGACATTCTTAGAATTTATCCAGCATCTTAAATTATATGTTTTAATTGAACTTCTTTATTAGTAAGTGAAGTATTAAATCCTGATAATGTTTAAAATATTAGTGATAAAATGTGCTAGATGAATAAGAAGAAAGTTATAGATTTATAATAAATATAATTTGTTTTCACTTAATAGGTAGTGCTCAGATTTTGACAGGCACCCAGAATGAGACAGGTCTTGAACAGATCCAGTACTTAGAGGATCGCTCCCGCTATCAGCGTTCCGAATTTATTGAAGAGACAACTAAGCAAGCACCAATATTTACCACTTCACTGAAGCATATCGACATCAAAGAAGGGCAAAGAGCACACTTTGAGTGTCGTCTCATCCCAGTATCAGACCCTACAATGAAAGTTGAATGGTTCCATAACAATGTGCCTGTCAAATCAGGTAAGAATACTGAAAACACCATGACAAACGAGTGTGAGGTGTTCAAATTACACTACTATTGTTCATCCCAGGGACTTTTGTTTCAAGATTTTGGATTGATGTTGTTCTGCAAGTTATAGAACTTCTGATCATTATTGTGAAATTTAGATACATACTTCATCACTTTCAGTCAATAGAGTGTATGTGGTAGTTGCTCTTTGAAAATGTTATCAGTTATCAGTTCAAGAGAGAGAAGGGGAAACTATTAATAAGTACTTAGAGAAATTGTTGTTCAGTGTGTTTGGTTGTTCTTTAGGTGGTAAAAATAGCACCACTGTCTTCTGGGATGTGATGCCATATAATGTGGTAAACCATTATCAAGGTTTTGGAGGATTCTGTTGCCTCCATCTTCAGGGTAGGAAATAACTCAAACATGGAAGTAATGATGTATAGGGAGAGGGAAGACTGGATGTACTAGAACACATGGTAATGCATCCCAGATGAGGATTATGTTCATGGTTACTGCTGTGAAATCACACATAGTCTTTCCTAATTCAGTATCATTATTCATACTACATTATGAAGATCTTTGAGAAGTCAGTTTACAATTTGAAGTCCATCTGTATTACATATACTGGGCAGTGAAAATTTGGATGTATAAATTTAATCACCCTGTGATAATTTTAATATTGTTATTTTGTTCCAAATGTATTGCAGAATTTACAAACAGATTTATTAAATAAGGTATCATACTTTAAATTTATGTGAAACCATGCAAATATATTTGCATAAGGTCTTGAGAAATCAGAAGAAACATGTGTAACTCATTGAACTCCTTGCAGGACCAGTATACATTTGAACATTTCTCAGGTCCATAATCTTGTTCGATCTCCTTTGAAGTCTATTCTACAAAGGTCTAGTTTTTTTCTTTTTACAGTAGTTTTCAGTGCAGGTGAAATATCTGGTGTTAATTGTTAACTAGTGAGTGCTTATCCTGTTTAATCTATTTTGTATATTTGTCTGCTTGTATGATAGAAGTATAAATCTTAAACATGCTGTTTTGTCCAATGTTGTCATGTTCAGATGCAGATATTCTAGTTTGAAATTTATATTTTATTTCAACTCAGTAAGTCTGCTGCTTGCATGATTCTGTTATAGTATGTACTTACTGCAGAAGTCAGTATGTGGGGATTTTATATTATTTATATACACGCATGTTTCCAATTTTGATGTGACATGATGCCTGAACGCCAGAAGTGTGCCATCAGAGAAGCACAACAGAGATGTCTGTTGCTAGACAATGGCTAGTTGAAACACGTTTCTGCAGCAGTGAATATGCTGGTATAAAGCAGTGCGTTGCCTGGAGAACGTTACACGTTTCATGGCATCAGACAATAGCAAAGGAGAGTTAATCGTCCGACTGGGTATTCTGTATTCAGTCTGCATGAAATTAGCTCAGTCCAAGATTTGGACAGCCAGAGAGAGAAAGTCAAAAGTGTAGGGATCTAGATAGAGAATTCAAGAAACCAAGCAATAACTAAACAAGCAGACAATGAAGACTTTATTTTATGTGTTATAGTTACAGTAACCTTTATAGTGGTATAATTATTTGTAGTTATGATGTGTAATAATTACAGTAATCTTTACAGTGTTATAATTAATTGTAGTTACAACTTGTGAGTATCCAATAAATCTATTCACTAATCCAAACCCCTTCCACAAGTTACTAAAACATGTGACATTAATTTTTCTTCCCAGGTTCCCGCTTTACAGAGACAAACAACTTCGGTTTCGTTGCCCTGGACATTCTATACTGCTACCCAGAAGACTCTGGAACATACACTTGCCGAGCAAAGAATATTGTTGGAGAGGCAGTTACTTCAGCAAATCTTGTAGTTCACTGTAAGTTAATAATGACTGTTGTACTGTAGTGTATTGTATTGCACTGTATTGTAACTTAAACCCATTGTTTAAACTGTTCTAAATTCGATAAATGACACAAATTCCGTCCCAAGTGCAAACAATATATATTATATGTCTTTGATCTTGTTCTTTCTACACTACATGTTTCGGCCTCTATCGGCCATCATCAGGTGTATACTCTTAACGTTGCTGCCACACTGAACCCAGTCTAAAATTTAACATTTAAAAACACAATGTCATATTCTTCGTATTATCAACATCTACATCGTTGATATATGTCTGGTATGTAGATTATGTTGCACACGTCAAATTTGATATTCTTGTAGTAGCACTTTAAAAATCTTTAGTTATGATGTTTTTAAAAGGTTTTAAAACCTTTAAAAGGTTTTAAAAACATCATAACTAAAGATTTTTAAAGTGCTACTACAAGAATATCGGATTTGACGTGTGCAACATAATCTACATACCAGACACATATCAACGATGTAGATGTTGATAATACGAAGAATATGACATTGTGTTTTTAAATGTTAAATTTTAGACTGGGTTCAGTGTGGCAGCAACGTTAAGAGTATACACCTGATGATGGCCGATAGAGGCCGAAACATGTAGTGTAGAAAGAACAAGATCAAAGACATATAATATATATTGTTTGCACTTGGGATGGAATTTGTGTCATTTATCGTGTAGAGTGCAACAGGATGCTTAAATATAATATTGTTCTAAATTCACATGTTAATAAAGTATAGTAAGGTAAAGGTAAGGCCGCACCATGGTTTGAGCGGTTAGTCGCTGGCTTCCCGATTTCAAACCCAGGTCTGGTCAAGTGGGATTTGTGGTGGACAGAGTGGGACTGGGTTAGGTTTTCTCCGAGTACTTCAGTTTCCCCTACCAATCTTCATTCCACCAAATTCTCCATCATCATAATCACCCAGGGCAGGTACAATAGGCCAATCAGTGGCCACCATGCCAAGTGGACCCAACTGGACTCCACCCCTCACTATGCGAATTAAAAAAAAAGGGTAAAGGTAATGTCCCTGTGTATAGGAGGCTGGGTGTGCCCCAGAACCAGTCTAGAGAATGTGCAGAAGAGAAAATTCTTGACCCTGCTGGGACTCAAACTCTGGCCCCTCAGTCATCCAGCCCATACCCAGTTGCTATACCATCTACACTATCCCTGCTCCCATTGAAGGATAATACGAGGTGTGTTCAAAAAATGACGGGAATTTCCGTATTTTGGAAAAAATATTTATTCATTCGTCTACATTAATGTTGTCGCCTTCAAAATAGTCCCCATTCGATATTATGCACTTACGCCAGCGCTTCTTCCAATCATCGAAACACTTCTCAAACTCGATTTTTGGGATAGCCTTTAGCTCTTTCAGCGATGCGCTTTTAATGTCATCTATGCTTGTAAAACGACGGCCCTTTAAGGTTCTCTTTATTTTTGGAAATAGGAAAAAGTCACACGGAGCCATGTCTGGCGAATATGGAGGCTGGGGCATCGTTACAGTATTGTTTTTGGCCAAGAATTCACGAACAAGCAACGAAGTGTGAGCAGGTGCATTATCGTGGTGCAAAAGCCATGAATTGTTTTTCCACAAATCCGGGCGTTTTTTTCGGATTGCCTCACGCAAACGGCGTTGAACTTTCAGGTAGTACTCCTTATTGACCGTTTGATTTCACTTTTTCCACGTTTTCATCGGTTGTTGATGTGCTGGGGCGTCCGGGGCGCTCGTCATCTGCAACGTCTTCACGGCCATCTTGGAAACGCTTATACCACTCGTAAACTCTTGTTTTACTCATAACAGACTCACCATAGGCCTTTGTTAACATTTCACACACTTTGTAACACTTTATTTCATTTTTTACGCAAAATTTGATACAAATTCTTTGATCCATTTCTTTTAACAAACGAAAATCGCCAAGCTCATAAAAACACGTCTAACCTTAGCGGCTGCCACAGACAAAGTAAGCAATGAATACAGCTGAAAATTTTATTGTACTTCAGGGGCATGTATACCAACATAATAAAAAAAAAATTTTGACAATTGGACTCTCCAAACCCGCGAAATTTTAAAATTCCCGTTATTTCCTGAACACACCTCGTACATTTCATAAAATGTTTAAGATAGGTGAACAACTCAGGTTTCTTGAGTATTTTGTAAACTAAATCTTTGGTTTGTAAAACAGTATGTAGAAAACTTGAAACCTCATGTGATGAAGAAATGCATTAAGTACAGGGAGGTTATTTGAGAGCCTAGTGATAATCGTTTGCCTAGTCGAGCAGAGGAGAAAAGTACCTTGTAGCAACTAATGTCTCTCATATTTGGACCTGCACTGCAATAACAAAACCTGAAGCAAAATTTAACCATATCACACAACAGATACCAGAAATATTCCCTGTTGTTACATATCCTGTGTATCTCTATAAAATGTTAACGTTCACACATTGAAGTTTCTTTTTGTAGAACCATAGTAAACTTGAAACTTCAAACCTGAAACTGTAAGCCCCTTTCTTCTGTGGAAAGTTGCTAAGATATTTATGAGGGGAATGGTCTAGCCTAACACCAGTTACATCCCTTTTCTCTTTAGTGAGAACTCAGTACTGTAATTTGGTTTGTTTTTTTCTCTCTCTCCAGTAATGATCCTGTTTGTGTGAATTTATTTATGATTGTATAAATAGTTCTCTTTTATTTGGAACTGTAAATTCCTGAAAATTATGCTGGAATCTTGTACTTACTTTTAACATGTGTACGTTAAATGAATGCTCTTTTCAATGTGTAACTCTTGAATGAATGAATATATAAGGGGTGGGCCTTCTCGGCCCTTGCACCGCGACCTTCAGTGATCTATTGTGCTTATGTGTAACTCTTACTTGGCATTTTGACATGAAGTGAAGTGGCTGATTGATTATTTAATGCAGTAGCAGGGCTTTGGGTTTATGGTTGACAGGCACATAATGAATAAGCCCACTCATGGTAGCTGCTCAGAGATTTATTGGGGTGATATTAGAAATAAATTGTGATGTATATGAACTATTGGCCTGTCACCTACACAGTCAGCTGAAACACATGCTGTGAGAGTGTGAATGTGAGTTGGCCTGAGTAGCATATGTCCCTCCCACCAGACTGGCTGAAAGATTAGTGGCAGGCTCTCAAATGTCCTCCATGTACTTGATAGCTGTATTTTTTTTTGTTACTTTTATGGATCAAAAATTTGGTGTCTTAGGTGTGAGGATATTCTAATATGAAATCTTGAGGAAAATAGTTGCATCAAAGAGAGATTAAGTTACTAGAGACAAGAGAATAGAATTTCATGGTTTGTACTGTTTTCAGATGTAATTAATGTGTTGAAAACTGAGATGGGCCAAACATATAGCACTTGTATGAGAAAAATGCACAAAGAACAAGAAATTTCAAGAATGGAGACTATCATGAAGGGCAAGGAATGAATTGATAGAGAACATTAAAATGGTGTTTAAGGAAATTTTTTGTTGAGATAGTAGAATTTACTCTCGATGTTATGCAGTAGGAGTCTGTTAAGCTGATAGTGTCAACCCTTTAGGTCACAAAACAACAAGGAGATCTAAACAGCTAAATAACCGTTGTTTATTCAGGGAAATCAATGAGATAAATATGATGACATCATATTCAGACAATTTCAGTTCTATATGACTGGAATATTAAAAAGAAATAAGACCTTGGACTTGCAAAATTATGTAAAATTCGTTTTCGCTGATATTCCACAAAGAAACTGAGAATCGATAGTTTATATTTATGTGATGTGTGTTTCATTCAGCCAAGAAATCAATCTACCTGGAGTCACAGCATGAGAATGCACTGAATCGTATTAGTTACTTGGAAGATTCATCGCGCTACCAGCGGCAGACTGTGCAAGAGGAGACTGTGACTCAAGCTCCAGTGTTCACTCAACCAATGAGAGACATAAGAGTTGCTGAAAACCAAGCAGTTCACTTTGAAGCTCGCCTTATCCCTGTTGGAGATCCTAAACTGAAAGTTGAGTGGTTGCGCAATGGTGTGCCTATCGAAGCATGTGAGTGACATAATGTTTTCTGTTGCATTAATAGTCCATCAACAAGCAATAAAAGAAATCAATATTAGAGTTAATTTCACCGACCACACAACACGTTTTTATTATTGTCACACTACATGTTTCGACCTCAAGAGGTCATCCTCAGATGTACGAACACAGTTGCACAATCACGCGCAATCACATTCGTTTTTCCACTTATTTCGATCTTGTATCCTGTTCAGGTCTACNAACTTGTATTTTATAAGAAGAAACTCGACATATATTATTGAGCGTAGACCTGAACAGGATACAAGATCGAAATAAGTGGAAAAACGAATGTGATTGCGCGTGATTGTGCAACTGTGTTCGTACATCTGAGGATGACCTCTTGAGGTCGAAACATGTAGTGTGACAATAATAAAAACGTGTTGTGTGGTCGGTGAAATTAACTCTAATATTGATTAAATACACAACAGGATGCAAGAAACAATTAAAATAAAAGAAATGGTATGCAGAAATTGTTACTTTGATAACTGAGTCATTTCAGGTTATTCTGTTATTATCGGTTTTTTGTATACATGAATGGCTCATTGTGACTCCTACAGTCTTGAGTCAGTGTTGGAGGGTCTCTGGAGAAATTACCTTGCCGAATCACCACAGATGGAAATTTATTGAGCCATTACACAGGAACAAATGTTTCAAGTTACAGATTATTTGATGAAATGAAGAAGCAGTGTAATTGTGTACAGTTAATACAGTGAATTACATTAACCCAAATAATAATATGAATTTATAAAAACATAAAATTATAGGCTAGACTGCATCATTCTCTAAGTATGTACGTCATTTGGACTACTTGCAATTGAGACTTTTACTTTCAGATTAAGGTGATATCCACCTTGTTGGGCAGGTTGTAGATTAATCATGTCCCTTTAATAATGCTTGTCAGAGTTCCTGTCAAATATTATTAGCTGCAGACTAGATCTCTCTGTACTCAATGTTTGAGTTCTGTTTCATTTATAGCCTGCAGATACATCTACATTTTCAAATTCATCTGTTAATTAAATTCAACTTAGGATAACTTTTGCCGTTTTTGCAGTGTTTTGTGTATGATCTACCTCTCTCAGAAGTCACGAAATATATTAATATGTAATACTATACACATTTAGTGAAAATAAGTTACTAAGCACAGTCTCAAATTTTATATTCCTCAACAAGTATTTTATGAAGATGAAGGGTCAACTTCAGTTTTGCTTACATGTATTTCATAGAGAAATATGTTTTTAACACAATGTTACATTTTATATATATATATATATATATTTGTAAACATGATTCTATATTTAATTCATTTCAGATTCATTTTCAACAGAAGGATGAGTCACTATCACTTTTTGTACAGAGTACAGAAATTTCCCATGTTATGAAACTGCGCATCTTTAATTTAAATGTACAAACGGATCTATTTAAATTGCATACTTCCTCATTGGTTACTCTTTCAATTATAGAAACTTACAGAAAGCATTGACACATTACTCAGTGTTATATGAATTGTCAGTTTTATCATGGTGTGCAGTATTGAGTAATTGACTGTTATTACTTGTGTCTGTCACCATGTTAGACATAGATTTTGTTTTTGTTTAAATTTGTATTCTTATTCTTTCTTTCAGCTAACCGAGTAACTACTATGCATGACTTTGGTTATGTTGCGCTCAACATGAAATACGTGTATCCCGAAGATTCAGGCACTTACACGTGCCGTGCTACCAATGAGCTAGGAGAGGCTGTCACTTCATCTACTCTTATTGTTCACTGTAAGTTGTTGCACAGTGTGTATTCATAATTAGATGTACTGATGTTTAAAAATTTCATTTCTTTGCAGAATGTATCTGTAGTTGAGTGGTTGAAGATATGAGAGAACTTATATTGTTAATAAGTGTAACCTGGTTCCACACATACCCCATATTCAAGAATACCTCTGACTTTAAATTCAAGGTTTTAAATTACACCTGATATAATTGAATATGGCGTGAATGTTTAGAAACTTCTTTTACAAACTTATTCATATATTCATTCATTTATTTCCTTTATTTTCCATATATCCATACAGGCAAAAAACCTAGGATGTGGAAATAGTCCCTTTGATAATAGATTTATACATATAATAAATTACATAAGTCACACAACCAAAATCACACACACTAGTCAACCAACATAGATAACAGAACAAAAAAAAACTTATTACAGTTATAATTAATAAACATAATTTAAAAAGAACATTACTATAAAAACTTAAAATTAATACAATTTCACTCAAATTACCCAAATTAACTGAATTAAATGCATTACACATTTATGACCAACTATCTTTCCTTCTTTCTTTCTTTATTTCATTTTCCCATAAATCAAAATACATTGATACAGGACGCATCATATACATACATACACATCCTTCACTTTCCATAAACATCCATACAGGCAACGGACCCAGGATGTGGAAATAGTCACCAAACATATACACAAAGTCACACAAGCCACACAACGAAGATCACCCACATTAACTATCTAACACATACAGCAATACAAGGCAAAAAGATAATATCCTGATTAACAGACATAATTCACAAGTAACCACAATACAACCCCTCAAATCTCCCATACCAACTATATTAAAATATGGCATTAAAACATTCAAATTTATGTACATTTGTAATTAAAATACTCATTTAATACATAAAAAGAGTTACCTGTAGGAGTTTAATCCTCTCCAAAGTAAGCTTCTTCAGGATGTACACTTTAGTTCAAATGTTCCTGCTAGTGTTGGTAGCTCTTCTCAAGTACAATTTTGAAATCATCAGCAGCTTCTCCATTACATTCCATTCAGTTGTTTCCACATCACAAAATTTTTTGCATTTCAAGGTTTAGGAAGTTTAGGGAACAGATGAAAGTCATGAGTAGCTAAACACTGATGCAGACCTGGACTGAGTGGGCAGTTGCATTGTCATAGTGAATTTGCCACTCACCACATTCTTTCCTTCTTCTATTGTTCATGGCACACCACATCCTGTAGACATCCCACAATTGAAAGCACAGCGTTTTTTAATGATCTGACATTCTGGGCCATGTTTATTATACAAAAAAACTCATAATAAAAAAACAATCAGAATCACTTTAGTTGTCTTGCTTACTTGGTGTGCTTTCGTGGGTCATGGTTAGGACGAGGCTATCTGGTTGTGATTGTTGCTGCATAGTACTGGATTCATAATTATAGACCTATGTGTCATCACCTGATGACAAAATTTTCACCAGTTTCTGCACATTCAGGCAAATCAGAAGCCACAGATGTGATGTTTTCTTTCTGCTTCTGACCATCAGTCTTGCAGTGAATTTGTCTGAAACATGCTGTTCCAAAACCATTAGATAAACTAACCTTGTATTTAGTATAAATTTTGGGAGTGATTGTAGTAACATAATTTGTTCATTTGTTTGTTTTGGTGAATTACAATTGAAGTCTCTTTTTCTTGAACTACCTATTCAGCCATTTCGCATATAGTCATTCCCATGTCATTTCATACTAAATCACAGACTTGAGTTACCACTTCATCATTTGTACTGGTTTAAGGCCATTCAGGACATTTGTCTCTTTTGAAAGGTTCTTGTCACTCTTCAGAATGATGCCCCAACTCATAAACTTGTGCTTGGCTCACTGTTGTATCAGAAAATCCTGTTTGGATCGATCAATTACTGTATTTCTGATCTTACAGAGTTATGCACATAGTTCTGCATCATAGGATGTCATTAAATTGACATGTGGTAGAAATAAGTTTGGACTTCTAAAGCTGACATCAAGTGACTGAAATGATGGAATAATTTGAGACATGTCTGGACATGCAATAACATGTTAAGATACATTTATCATGGCTGCATCCCTTAAATTTATTTGAAATGTGAATTCAGTTTAGATATATCTCCTTCAGGCTTCATATTTAAATTCAGTTTTCTTGATTTGTTGCATACTAAGATGTGTGACCTTTCTCGTGTTTTTGTTATATCTACAAGCAGGAAAACTTTGACTCCATGTGTTTATATAGTGGCTAAAATTCTAAGTTTTATCACTCTTTGAGTCTAATCCTTATAGAACCAATCATATGTTACTGGAGATATATTTGCTGAAGTGTCGTTACTCTGTATGCAGGAGTCGTGGAAATCAAGTTTGAGATTTGTTTTTCAGCTTTCTTAGTCACAAACTGTTCTACAATATATTTAGCACATTTGCCAAGATTTTTCAGTATCTCCCTTGAAGTCTGTGTTTGTTTCTCCTGTAAACACTGTTTACTTACTAAATGTGATGCACTAGATCTTATAAAACATTATAATCTTCATTTTTATCTCAGGATATGACTAGAGAGGAACAACTCTGACAGTTGAATAGCTAAGAAAAGAAGGAACACTTTGCAGCATGAAGACCTGTAAATATGCCAATGCAAGGCACCATATTGTCATTATGAAATGTTACAGTGTTACAAAAGATTTAACACGGGGTAATTCCATTGTTCCTGGAACTAATATGTATTTTTTTATTACTTATAGCCAAGGCCTCACTGTTGTTGGAATCCCAGCATGAGGGTGCTCTAGAGAAGTTGCACTTACTAGAAGATTCTAGCCGCTACAGTCGCCGTGAGGAAGAGGAGATTGTTGTCACCCAAGCACCTCACTTCACAGCCCAGCTTAATGGTCCTACCAACCTTCTAGAAGGACAGAGTGCCCATTATGAATGCCGCATTGAGCCATACCCTGATCCAAATCTAAAGGTGGAGTGGTTTCACAATGGAAAACCGTTACAAACAGGTAAGTTATCAACTTGATTAATACATTAAAGTAGCACATAAAGTAGTTAGTTGCTGTGAATATGCTGAGATGAAACGTTGAAATTAATGTACTTAACATTTTACAGATGCCATAAGCAACATTTGGTCATAATATGAGGCAGTGTCTTCTGGTTCATTGACTTTAATTCAAGAAAAATCTTAATTCTTTTACTGTGAAGGTGTTTTCACCTCAAACTTTATAAAATGATAGACAACAAATTTACTCCAGTATCACTCATGTAAAGACCATCCCTACTAATGTAGTTTGTGTTGGCTGGTGGCTTCTCATTTTGTAGATGTTTGCTGTAAAATTTACAGTTTTTTCTGAAACAGCAGCAATTAACATGTGTTAAAACATAATGTAACTGCATTAAAAGGATATTTTGAATGTCATTATCAGTGCTTATTGGTCATTATTATTGGTGATATATGATGACGTTCAGTCGATTAGGCAGGAGGCCAATTAAACTGGAAAGTTGTATATGTATGTGACTTGTTTGAGAGTTACAATTTGTAACTGTGATGAATGTTAAATAAAATTATTATTATTATTATTATTATTATTATTATTATTATTATTATTATTGTGCCATGACTTTTAAAACTAAGCCTGAAATTTTCTAGGTCATCGTTTTCGAACCACATATGACTTTGGTTTTGCTGCACTCGATATCCTGTCAGTGTATCCAGAGGACTCAGGAGAGTACACTTGCAAGGCGACTAACAAGCTGGGAACAGCCACATCGTCCATCAAACTTAATGTCAAATGTAAGTCATACTTTTAAGAAACTATTTTTTTATCTCTTATTAGTTTTATATACTACATTTGTTGGTATAGCAATAATATTACTGGCTTTTATGTAGGAAGTACCAGATGTATATCTCAACCAGGTTACAGGCTGCTGTGGCTGAGATTTTTTTGTGGTTTTCCTTTGTCTCTCCAGCAAAGTAATGGATAGTAGATTAACACAGACAGCAACCAACTCTTTCAAAATCCTTACCAAATTCATCATTAATGACCAAGCTCGCATTCATTTGAGGCTACGAAACTGTCATTGAACAATGTGAGACTCAATCATGAACAGTATACTGTCTCTTAAAGACAATGTGACAGTTGATATTGCATTGTGTTTTTGTTGGTAACAATTTTCTAATTGGTGTTTATATATTTATAACTATCCTGTGATATGCTGTGAGGCTGGTAACTTACCAATATGAAATTTGTTATTGAAACACTACTCTACCAGCGTACTGCTCTGATTAAGTGGATTTGCTTTATTTATACAACAGTGAATGCAACAGAAAGAAAAAAATGTTAATCTAATATCCCACTTTGTTCATATCTCTTGCAGCTCGATCATCCATCATTCTTGATACCCAACATGAGGGCGCCTTACAGAAGATTCAGTACCTGGAGGATGATTCTCGTTATAAGCGAACCAGAACTGAGGAAGCAGTTATTGCTGAGAAGCCACAGTTTGGTCGTCCTCTGCGTAATGTTGAGCATTTACCTGAAGGTCTTAATGTTCATCTAGAAGCAACTTTGACTCCTGTTAATGACCCTACAATGAAGGTGGAGTGGTACTGTAATGGGCGGCCTATCCCTCAGGGTGAGTAACTTTGCAAGACATTGGAGGTGCTGTTATGAATGGAAACGAACTGAGATAGACAGTGGCATTTTATAAAAATATTCAGACTGTGTTAACTTTACTTGGGTGGATGCATTTAGATGCAGTATACAGCACATTCACATTTCAGTAAAACTTGTACATTTTTGAGGTCCCAGAAGCAGCACTGTTAAGTAAGATAATATATATTTTTACTGTAATTACAAAATGTGAACTTCAGTTGACAGTCCTACAGAACTATCAGAATTGTATAAAGATTAATAAGAAGATTTGTAGGGGACGGAGTGTGGCTCAACATTTAATTACATGTGTTTGGGTAAATGTTAGTAGAATGGTTTCCCCCTTACTTATCTTCTTCCAAAATCCCTGCTAGTATCTCAGAATAGTTGATGAAATATGTAATATTTGTTTAGCTGACTCTGCATTGTTTATATGTTTGATCTATTTTCTTAAAGTTTAGCATGTTATTCACAAAAGACAGATCATATACATACTTTGGTATCAGTGAAATTGCTGTTCATTATTAGCTTTGTAGAATAATATTGTTTAATCTGTTAAGGTTGTGTTTGATACATAAACAAAGGTAAAAGTAGCCTTATAGTTAGGAACTCCTTGAGGGCTTCTGTAAGTGGCACTATGCCTGCCTTTGCAGCTTCATCTAAATGGCATCAGGTTCTTGCTGTAGCAGTATTATCATATTGATATATCTTTGTTAGTGTACACTGACAAATAAGATCCATTCTTTGGTCAAAGAGACCACAGAAGAGCATAAGACTGCCATCTGTTAATTATAACATGAAGCATGAGCACAAACTTTAAAATAGTAGACCTCATTTATGAGATGCTATTAATTAAGAGTGAGTTAATTGCTAATGTCTTCATGTTGCTTGGCATGACAGACCAATGCAGTCCAAGTTCTCCCATTTTCTGGGATTCAGAATCTTGTTTATAGACATTCTGTAATACTCCTTTGATGGGTAATCAGCCTGTTGTAAGGACTGCGTCACAGACACAGATAAAATGCAGTTTACATCCATGCCCGAGTGAGATTCAAATCCATAAACACAGTGTCCAAGTAGTAGAAAACATTGCAGCCTTGGATTGCACAGCCACTGTAACCAGCCACACTATGGCCCTGGGGTCAACTCAGCCTCTTAACAGAAATGATTACTAGGAATTCTCATGGGGGGTAAAAAGCAGCCAGCGCCTAAGGCTGACAACCTTACTGACATCTATGAGCTGATTGTCTAGAGAAAATGTAGGAACCTCGACTTCTCACAACCCTATGGGCTTTCATGACCTGTTACAGGGATACCTTTTATTAGTAAATAATTTTTTTTATTGCTAGTGGGGTGGGACTAAGTCCCTTGTACTGCGGCCACTTCTGGCCTATTGTACCAGCCCCAGATGATAGGTGAGGGTGATTGTGGAGCAGTTGGTGGAATGAAGATTGGCAGGGAAAACCGAAGTACTCATAGAAAACCTGCCCCAGCGCCACTTTGTCCACCATAAATCCCACTTGACCAGACCCGGGATCAAACCTGGGGTGCCATAGTGGAAAGCCAGAGACTAACCGCTTGAGTTAAAATAAAGGCTACTTGAACTATTGCACTTTGATTTATGGAAGTTACTTTAATAGACAGGAATGTACAATATTTGCCTGCATATAAGCCTCACTTTATTCCCAGAATGGACACTCCTTAAAATCATGTTGCAGCTTGTAAACAGAAGGAAAATGTTGCTGGATTGTCTAGATCTGATAAAAGTATATAATTCATTGTTATGGCCAAGAGATGATGCTTTAGCTTCAATTAAACAGTACATTAATGCAAACATGACTGAAATCAGTGTTACCAACTAGTGGAGAGGTCATAACAGAAATTCATCATACCTAATTGAAGCTTTCTTACTGTGAGTTATTCATTTTATGCAATAATGTAAGATTATAAAATGTTTCCTTCATTTCAAGACAGTATAATTGTAGGGGTTCAGCTTATATTCTGCCATATTTGGTACATTATCTTTCTGGGACCTGGCTTTTGTTTGTAAGCTATGGGTTTATTGTAATATGTCAATAAATGTTTGTCCTGTAGGTCATCGTTTCAAGACAACGTATGATTTTGGTTTTGTGGCTCTGGACATCCTATATGCATATGCAGAAGACTCTGGAACATACATGTGTAAAGCCAAAAATGCTGTTGGTGAAGCTGTTACTACTTGCTCTGTACAAGTTGAAGGTAATCCAGGCAGCACAGTTTGTAATTAAACAAGGCAGTTTTTCTTTTTTCTTTTTTTTTTTGTAGTAATCATGAAGGAATTTTTACTATGGCTAGGGCACACATTCCTTAGAAAGATTAAAACTTGTGATTCTTATATTTCTCCGGTCTTTCATTCCACTATTCTTTAAGTTCATGTTTCATCAGCTCTAACACAGTGTTAGGAAAAATGATAGTTTATGTAATATTGAATGATACTGGTTACAATTTATTTTTAAATTTATAGTAAAATAAATACAAATAAATTGGATAAAATGTAGATTATAATTGTATAATATATATTGTATTGTAGCGTGTTTTGTGTGTCACGCTACAAATAAGTTCACGCCATTCCAATATAGCGAGTTTATTCTTATCACTCGCCTTACACACACTTTACAATCATCACACTTGCAGTGCCACAATCACTGCTTACAATATTCGGCGAGACACTGGACTCTCTTCTCCGAAGGCTGATCCGAGACTGGAGACTTCTCGCCGAAACTGGGCTTTTATAACCTTGGCCGCTGTTAGGCAACGAACCCTTTGTTATAACTATGGAGACGTTGCTTTGTTTGTCCAGCGTTTCCTACGCAATGACCCATTGTTATTGCGTTGTCTCTGTGGGAACCTTCGCGTATTCTCGTAACCGTGGAGATTCGATGTTCTCGGTACAACGGCTCCCTGTTGGGGTTACAGTGCCGCTATTGTTACTTCCTATGTAATGGTCCATTCTAGCGTTTCCCTAGAAGTTACTCCTCTGGTTTGCCGACACGTTACAGTATATATGTGGATGTGGAAAGCAAATGGAAAAACTACCACATTATCACTTTTCCTGGATAGTCCCCTTACAAAAACAGATGATCGCGTTAAGTGGAGGAACTGTTTTGGAAGAGATTGTGGACCTGTCATCTGACAGATTACTGATAAAATGAATGAATAACTGTCTGATCAAGGACCCACTTAGCCAATAATGGAAGGAGAATGTAGCTTTGAAATTAATGTATTTCTTGTAAGTTTTATTCCGAACATTATAACTCCATGGAGCTGAGTTCTCCTTGAGAGGTTGATAGTTGTCCAATTACTCCAGAAATAACTTAACATTTCATTTAATCCCAAGGCTCATTAAAGTGTTTACAAGAGCCTGCCACTGGTCCCTATCGTGAGCCACAGGAATCCAGCCCACACCCTCCCATCCTAGTTCTTTAAGACCCAGTTTAATATGTTCCATCCATGTCTAGGGCTTCCCAGTGTCCTCTTTCCTAGGTTTTTCCACCAAAACTCTGTATACTCTTCTCTCTTCTCCTGTGCATACTAATTGCTCTTCCAATCTTATCCTCCTTAATTTAATCATTCTAACAATATTTTATGAGGAATAATAAAGAATAGGCACCCACTACATTGGATCTGATGATTCATGATGTTTTACTCATTCTGTCCAAGAATCTGAATTTTTTTAGTACAGCTAACAAAAATGTTATTTTGTATGTTGTTTAATATAAGTTTTAAGAATGTATTCACATACTTTTGCGAAGTAAATATGGGTAGGCATTTGTAGTTCATTTCAAAATAACTTTGTTTATGTGTGAATGTTCAAGATATTGTGAATTGTACGAATACTTCAATTGCAGCCAAGGCTGGCTTGTACCTGGATACACTTGATGCACAAAGATTGAAGAAGATTCGTGACCTTGAAGCATATGAACGCCCATCCAAGGCTGAAGTTGAACCTCAGGCACAGAAACCAGTCTTCATTACTCCACTGAACAGGTATGACTAAATTGATAGAGAGATGCTTTTGCATGGTAGCAGTTCTAGGCAGTTGTTGCAGAAAGTGTTCTTGTGTCTGTCCTATAATACTGATCTTGATCCAGATGATGTTTTTATTTGAAAATTGGTATGGATATCATGCCACCAGAGGCCACTCTACTTTCAACTATTTTCTCACATGAGTAATACCGAACTTCACAGACCACTTCCTGTGAGAAAGTCATCACAGACTTTCTGATTTATTTTTCAGCTTGGAGAATCTAAAGGAAGGTGATCATGCCCATTTAGAATGCCGTGTGGAACCAATCAACGATCCAAACCTAAAGATCGAATGGTTTGTGAATGGTGTAGCTATCAAGACAGGTCATCGCTTCAGGACTACACATGATTTTGGTTATGTAGCGCTTGATATTTTGTACACATATGCTGATGACTCTGGAACTTATATGGCCAAGGCTACTAATCTTCTAGGTGAAGCAGTGAACACTTGCCAGATCACTGTAGGAGGTGAGATACATGTGTAACTCTTCTTACCACACATTTGTAGTTCATTGTTTTTATTTAATAGGAAATACATTTGAGTCAACTACATTGATTGTTTGGTTTTGAGTGTTAACCCTTTGACGTGGTCATTTAAATTCCGTGGCCGCGGCTCCTGCGGTAATATATTCAGCCGGCCATTTAAATTTTGCTCGAAAATTATTTATTCATCATTGTTCTTAAATTCTATGAGATAGGAACATGAAACTTTCACTAAAATGATCTTAAATGGTGGTTTTATAACCTTACCTTATAATATGGGCGCCCTGTATCTCGGCCATGGAAGCAGGTTGTTTAGTATTTCAGCAGTGAATGGTACGCCTTGAAGGATGAAACTTTCACTAAAATGATCTTAAATGGTGGTTTTATAACCTTACCTTATAATATGNCAGCAAAACCATCAATTATTATGGGCGTTATAACATACGTGTGCAGCTGGACGAAACATACACGTCGAACCCCCCCAGACGATTTAAATCCCTGACGAAACATACACGACGAACCACGGCAACGGGTTAATCCTGTTCAAGGTAAAAGAGGTTTTAATTGTATTTCAGTGTTGTCATATACATGTATCATGTTATCAAATGCTGCAATTATGTAGTAATTTTTATATAATCCATATATACCAGGGGTTTGAGAAAGGTGCGAAAAGAAAAAAAAAATTCATGTATATGGAAAAATATTTATTGTACAGAAGAAATGATATCACAATTCAGTAGCACAAAACTCAAAAAGTTTCATTTTGTTACATATAGCAAGTGTCACATAACTTCGAACAAGGCCAAGAGTAACCTTGAATGCGCAGAAGAAAAATTTCAGACAAGGGGGTGGGTTCGAGGGTGTGAGAAGTGACAGGCGGTCAGTTGTTTGTAAGGCACCCCCAAAGCAGGTTATACTTACAGTTTTTCTATCTGTTTAAAAACGTTAGTTTCCTTGTGTGCTAAATCGTACATAATGAGTATGAAATTAGGTCAGTATAGGTCTACACTTGTTCGAAGTTACGTGACACTGTCTATACCAAGTTTCAGTGTGAGGCCCATTAGCTGTTCAGCACACTTCAAAACGATATTCACTTTTGCGCTGTGTGTTCACAAGCCTATGTTGTGCAATATTGCCGAGTTTGAAGATCTGCAGTTTACCCTTGATGGATGATATTCTTCAGTTCAGTTCAGTTTATTGTAATATTCCATCAGTCAAGAACAGGCTACAAATGTCGCCCATCTGATATAGAACCAGTCACTGATATACAAAGACACTAAATACTATGCATGCTTTGAATATTAAAGTGTTAGTCATACAATAACAAATCAAAATAACTCAACATAATACATTGTGAACTGGAAAATAAATCAGTCACTAAATACTAATGTATACGATTAGCATAAAAGTATATTAAGTAAGAGCCAGCAAGAGCCCTATAAAACATTTAACATTCAAATCATTAATTACCAATTCTTTCTAATTAATTTAATAAAAACCTAAAATTTTAAATAAAAATAGAAGAGGCATAATGAAATTACTCACAATGACTGTGATAAGTATATAGTATCATAATTACCAAAGGGAATAGAATATCCATTTTATTTATTGTTAAAAAACTCCTGCAATTAGTAAAAGGAATTTTCTAGTAAGTACCTTTTTAATGAAGATTTAAACAGTTTCTTCTTGTCTATGATGCCTTTCAGATAGGATGGAAGCTGATTAAAAATCTTAATGCCCATGTAATAAACACCTTTTTGATAGATAGACAATCTTGGTTGTGGGAAATGAAAATTATTTTCACTTTTGGTATTTATACTATGCAAATCTGTGTTAGTTTTAAATAACTCTCTATTATCTGATACACACAACCTCAGAAGAAAAAGTCTGGTAGTCTTAGGTCTGGTGATCTTGGGGTCTGTGCTAGGGAAACACCTCTTCCAGTCCACTTGTTTGGAAAGTGTTTGTTTAAAATGTGATGGTCATCATTTCCACAGTGTGGGGGAATTATCCTGCTGGAACTGTGCATCACAAGACATGTGTTCCTATCATGGTTTCTTCCTGAAAGACAAGAGGTCCAGTGATGCAATTCTTCTTCATGGCATATCACACTTTAACCATTGTTATGTCCCTCTGATGTTTGATAATTTCCTGATGCTACTGACTACCCAAAATTCTTCAGTTATATCTGTTCATGATACCATAAAAATGGAATGTTGCCTCATCAGAAAAACACACAGAGATGAGGAAAATTTTATCATTGTCAATTTTGCACAGCATTGGCTCTCAAAGCCTCATTCTGCAGTCACAGATGCCTGGTTTGATGTGCTGCCACGACTGCAATTTGTACTCATGTAAACATAAATGTTTGCATACAGTGTCATGAAATGTGGAGTGGGGAAGATGAAATTTCTGGTTTACTGAGTGAATTGACTAGCATGAGCTATGTAGAAATGCTTGTCCAATGTGTCCCTTTTCTTCATTGGACGTCGTTGGACATTGTGGGAATTTCGGATTTACAGCACTTTTAGTTTTTATTGGATGTCTGTCCCTCATCTTAATGGAATTGTAACTTGGTGCTGAACCTGCATGCACTAACCAAAACTTATGCTGAGGATATGTAACAAATTTCAACTTGTATAAGGGGTGGGCCTTCTCGGCCCTTGCACCGTGACCTACAGTGATCTATTGTGCTTAAATTTCAACTTTGCAAGTCACAAAACACAGTCCACGAACCATCATCATAACTAGCAGTGTTTCAAGGGGATGGCACATGCATGACCATTGGTACCAACATAAAATTTTGAAATATAAGCTACTGAATGGTGAAATAATTTCCTCTGTGTAATAAATATTTTTCTGTAAATGAATTCTTTTTTTCCCCACACATTTCTTAGACATGTTGTATATGTTGTTGTCAGATGTCCATCTGTCTGTTCCAGCCTGTTTCTCTTGTATGGTTTGTTGCAGGGGAAAATAGGAAAGACAGAAGTTGTCTGTCTTGGGAGAGATAACTCTAAGAAAATTGTCAATTTTACTGTTACATGTATGGGCTCAGGTACAAATCAGTGTCTTTCCAATTTGTTATCTCCATATATAAAGCGTTAGAACCATGATGAAAATGAGTAGGTAGCTGTTATATGTTTTATGGTAACCATGGTAATGATCTTGTTCACACTGGATTATGATGTAGTGTAATTTAATATTTATGTATTTTAACATGAGTATATTTTGTGGTGTGTTTCCGTTCCTAATTGTTTACTACAATTTTACATATATGAAATTTCAAATACAGTTTAATGTTAGATTGTGGTTCTTTTTATGTAGCATGACCCACATGAACTGTGTTCTGAAGGTCATGAAAGTGATGCTTGTGTGAGCCCAAGAACCTTTAGACATTAAATGTAGGTAACCATTATGAAATACAAAAATGGTTAAAAAAAGTTTTGTGCAGATTTTTCTCTGAAGACATGACACATACATTTATGTGTGCATGTGTGCATTTAGTGTATGTGTATAATAGCCAAATATGTGTCCATCCTACCCACAGTGGTAAGTATAAAACAGGCACATCCAACTTCAAACAGGTTGTGATCGACTTTTTAGTGTCAAAACTGCCAGTGATCTACCACCCCCTCATATCGTCATACCTCCCTTTAAACAAAAATATTGGTAAAAATAACACAACACATGATGTTTGTTGTAAAAGCAACATTCATTGAAAGTACAGACTACTTTAACACATATTTTCCCTTCAAAATCTGACTATAATCATATTATATTACAAGTGAATTTACATGCTTTTCACGTATAATTTCCTTATAGGCCTATGAAATCAACCAAAAATCATTCCGCGATCGACGCATTGGACATGCCTGGTATAAAACATTAGTAATTTTGAAAAATTTGATTTAATGTTTTCATCTTTTTAGAAGATATCTGGGCATTAAAGGCTAATACACATCATGGCATTTTGTTCTTGCTAGAGAAATCATGAAATTAGTGTTGTTACCAAAGATTTTCCCACCTAATAGAGTCATTTTACTGGTCCCCTATTGTCATCATTGCTACTGCTGTATAACCGTGGAAGGTGATGCAGTGATAATTGCTAGTAAGTACAAAGATCATATTTTAAGAAAATCTTATTTGAAGCATTGTTATTTTATCTTTAGCTCGCCGCAGCATTTACCTGGATTCTCAGCACCCTGAAGGTCTTGCTAAGATTCGTGAGCTGGAGGCACAGGGACGACCTGCTAGGCTGGAAGTTGATGAACCAGTTGCCACTCCACCACACTTCATTACTGAACTGAGGGTAAGAAATCAGTTAACTGTTGCTGTAGGGTATGAATGCAGTTAGCCACTAATTTTCAATATAATTGTGTTTCTACAGGATAATTAATTCAGTTTAGCTGTAATATATGTAGTAATATGCCATGAATTAGCAATAATCATAGTATTTTGTAAGGTTATAAACAGGTGTATTTGAAGATTTGCCAATTGCACTGATGATATTCAAGCACTGAGCCTCAGTGAGATTTAACATCTTATATTTATTATGTTCATTGCAGTACAGTTAAAGCTTGCACATTCAATAGAAATCTTAAAATAACATCTGTTCCATCAGAAATCACAGTACATCTGACTGACTGTGAACTGTATGTGGCAACATATTTTTCTTCATGTGATTTTAAACCATAGTGATCAGTCATCTCAAGATTACATGATTTTCTAGTCCGACAAATTGTTCCTTTCCTTAACATTTTTTTGATACAAGGAACATGAAACCAAGAAGCAGTAAATTCTGCCACCTGGAGGAAATTCTTGTATGCATTTTATTTTGCAGGGCACAACCGACCTATTTGAAGGACAGACAGCTCACTTTGAGGCCCAAGTGGAGCCCCTCCATGACCCTAATCTTCGCATTGAATTCTACCATAATGGCAAGCCACTCCCCTCTGCTTCACGTTTCCATATCACATTTGATTTTGGATATGTGGCTTTGGATATCACCCATGTGGTTCCTGAAGACGCTGGAGAATACACAGTCAAAGCTATCAACAACCTTGGACAGTGCACATCATCTATCAGTCTCAGAGTGCAAGGTATGCACAATAGGAACTGAGTAATAAAATTAACAGAAAAGCCTGATTCTTTAAATTAAGTTCTCTCATAAGCTGAAAGTTGTTTCTTCTTCTATGGCACAACAGCCCGATGTCGGGCCTTGGCCTCCCTTATCAAGCCCCTCCATTCCTCTCTATCCTGCGCTGCTCTCTTCCAGTACCTTACGCCCATTAACTTCTTTGCATCTTCTTCCACCCCATCAATCCATCTAGTTCTTGGTTTCCCAGCACGTCTCCTACCACCTATTGTACTGTATAATATTTTCTTTGGGATACGCTCCTTATCCATTCTCTGTACATGCCCAGCCTATTGCAATCTTTTAAGCTTTATCATCACTGAGATCTCTGGCTCCTTATATAATTTGTGTAACTCTTTATTATATTTTATTCTCCATGTCCCATTCTCTTTTATTGGTCCATAAATTGGTCTTAGGATTTTCCTCTCGAAATAATTGATGACTGGAAAGTTGTTTAATTCAGTAAAATATTCATACTGGGTTTGTATGTGGTACAATGATTTACATACTAAACTGAAATAATCCCAAGTTGAAGTAATTAATATAATGGAATGGGGCCATTGAAATAGTACGAGTATATGAAATGAGGTAAATGTTTATTTGAGTAACATTGAACACTACATGTTTTAAGTTTATAATGAGTAAACTTTGACTCTAAATATACTTGTACTCCAGCATTCACTTTATCAGTCAAACCATTAAAATTCAACAAATTCTATTCTAGAGGTCTGTGGGTTTAATGATATTCAATTACACTATCATGTCTCAGTTCTAGATCAAGATCCCAAATGCCAGAAATAGTTGGTGAAAGTATTATTTATTTTTATTAAAAAGTACATGGTGTTTAACATATTGGAAGTATTTGTAATATTATTTCATATTTCAGCAAAGGGTAATATTATACTGGAGTCACAACGCCCAGAAGGTCTGGAGAAGATTCGTCAACTTGAGGGAGCAACGCCATTCCAGCGACCTGAAGTGCAAGAGCCACAGACTAGGCAGCGCCCTGTATTTACACAGCCACTGCAGAATATTGATGCTATTGCAGAAGGGCAGACTGCTCATTTTGAATGCCGTCTCATCCCTGTAGGTGATCCCACACTGAAAGTGGAATGGTTCAGAAATGAGAAACCTCTTGAAACAAGTAAGATGATCACTCTGTTGAATAGTTTCACATGTAAAGATTTCTTTTAACATTGTGTAAATTTTTAGCCCTTGATTGCATAACCAATGTGGTATGTGCTATTTCTTATCTTGTGGATTGAGTGCTCATTGTCTACATAGTGGATTTTGACCGTATCTGAATTGGGATGTGCTAAAATAAGATATATATGTACACGTTAAATATGAATACAAACTACACCATCCAATGTGACATATAAGTTTTTACTGCATGGAAACTTATCTCCCTTACATGTTTCGGTCCTTACAGAATGTAATGTTGTTCCCTCTGAAGATGGTCCGTAAGGATCGAAACATGTAAGGGAGATAAGTTTTCATGTAGTAAAAACTTATATGTCACATTGGACGGAGTGGTTTGTATTTATAATTGTTAGTGTGACAGACCAGATTGAAACAACAAAAAAAAAACATTAAATATGTTCTGATTATTTTTATAGGTTCTCGTATCACAAGAACCCATGACTTTGGTTTTGTTGCTTTGGATATGACTCATGTCCGAGGGGAGGATGAGGGTGTGTACATATGCCGAGCTTCTAATGCACTTGGAGAGGCTGTAACTACAGCATCAATGAAAATCAGAAGTAAGATATTGATTTACACTTATAAAATGAGTGTATTTTCTGCATGTTTCTGTTACACCACATATAATGATAGAAGAAAATGACTGAAGCAAATTTCATGAGGAGTAAGAATATAAATAATATTCATTTATTCACCTGTAATCTGTCAAGACGACAGGTCCACAGTCTCTTCCAAAACAGTTCCTCCACTTGATGCGATCTAGAGCTTTCTCCTTCAAATGAAAATATCCTCTTCTGTCCCCAAGTTTATCCAGCATCTTCTTACGTCTTCTTCCTCGTCTTCTGGTCACTTCTATCCGCCCCTCTATCTTTTCTTCAATAACTTCTTTTAGAAGGCAGTTACCGCGTAAGATATGACCAATCCAATTAGCCTTCCGTTTTCTTATTTCGTGATAAATAATATATAGAAAGTATTTAATTTTCATTTGTTTTCAGAAATTTAAATCAGGAAAATCAAATCAGACACAGTCAAACTGAAACATGGAATGAAATCATATTTTATTTTGAACCCAAAACATATTACTTGTAGTAGTCTGGCATTTTCTGTTACTGTAAGACACATTTGTAGCACGTCCACATGTCTCTTAGGTTATGTTTTTTCCACATGTATATGTACTTGCAGCTCTTCAAAAGATTTTACTTGGATGTGTTAAGTAGGTGATCTATATAATAAAGTCATTATAATGATGTAATTATAGTAATGCATTTTTTTTTTCAGTGGTTGCACTTTCATATTCTAAAGCAGGGGTGTACAGTTGGTTTCTGGTTTGTAGGCTGGGTGGATCTATTTAAAAATTTACAATGGACCAGAGAGCCTTGCAAGAAAAATTCCTCAGTTAAAAATTGTTAAATATCTATCAGTTGTTTACAGTGGCTGCACATAATTTATTTATATGCCAATATTTATAAGGATTGTTTTATTTATAATTAATTCAAGTGTAATATTGTAAAACATATTTTCAAGATGCTAGACAAGCATGAAACCAAATCTAGAGTGGGCTTTATTTGACTTTCTAATGCCCATTTATAGGTATAGTACTAGATAAAAGCTTTAATACCCATCAGTATTCCAGTGTTTATATATTTATTTTGAGGATTATGATACTTTCCTCTTTTGTAGTTCATTAGTTTTTTTAGTTCTTTATTTCATTCCATAGATCTATACATTTGAGGATGTGGAAACAGTCATATAGGAGGAACAATAAAAAACATACATAATCAATCAAAACATTACACAACATAACAACAACAACAACATTTGGCAGACAGTCATTACAAGTGAATAGTATTATTCTTGTCATATCTAAAATCAAAATATTCATCTAAAGTATAAAATCAATGATCGCATAACAATTTTTTCAAATCCAGTTTAAAATCTCTAGGATTGTTATATAATTGCTTTATGAAAACAGGAAGATTATTAAACACCCTGATACCCATATAATAAGTTCCTTTGAGATATAGTGACCGATGGGCTGAAGGTTGATAAAGATTAAAATTATAACCCTGTCTTGTATTTCTATTCTGTATATCAGGTACAAATTGATATGAATCCATGTTGTTAACCATAAAAGACAGTAAAGAATTAGATACATTGAGATTGAAGAGGGAGAATACCCAAAGTTATGAATCTCTACTACCGATGCCCATCATTATTCTGAGTGCCCTCTGCTGCACACGGAACACATTAATAGCATATACAGAATTTCCCCAAAACATGATGCCGCAATGCATGATGGAATGAAAATAAGCATAGTAGCTCATCAACAAAGTTTCCAAATTAGTGTAAGGCTTGGCAGTTCTAATTGCATAACAAGCGGTGCTAAGTTTAGGTAAAAGTTGATCAGTATGTTTCTTCCAGGACAATGTGTTGGTAATGTTGGTACCTATGAACTGTGTGACCTGAATCAGATATCTCCTTATTATCATATGCAATTTTTGTATGGTTATCTTGTTCATAAAACCTTTTTGATGCAAATATAATATACTCTGTTTTGGAGAAATTTAAGGATAATAAATTGATATTGAATCATATATTTAAAGTTTTGAAGACTTCATTTAACTTGTTATGAAAAATAGAGGGATCAAATTCACTTATGATAACACTGGTGTAATCAGCGAAAAGGATAGGGGTAGAGATCTTGTTTAGTACGAAAGGGAGACCATTGATGTAGATCAGAGAAAGTAAAGGGCCTGAGATCAAACCTTGGGGAACTCATGAGAGTTATTACACCAATCAGAGCAAGTATTCAGATTGTACTATTTAGATTGCAGTCTTGTTCTTTGAAATCTTCCTTGTAAGCATGATGCCATTAGTTTGAGCATTAATCCTGAGATACCATAAAATTCCAGTCTGGATAACAAAATCATATGGTTAACCCAGTCAAAGGCTTTTTCAAGATCGCAGAAAATTACTCCCACATTATATCCCTCATTCAAAGCCATCAGTATCTGATCAAACAATTTATACATGAGTAAATATGAAATAAGGGCCATGTTGTTATTAAATCTGTTATTACCATGGGCCAGACTGAATTTTTGCAGGTCATAGATTGCTCAGTGATGTTCTGAAGTAATTTTGATTGTGAACATCTTTACACAACATGTTTCATTATGCTTCCTATCCCTTCCAAATTTGTAGCAGGAAGAAAACAACATTTTCATTGCATGATGTCTCCATCATATGCAACAAATAACTCCATGGAGCAAAGTCTTCTTGAGAATATCGTAATCTTCAGGTGGTTAAACAATTCTCTGCCTTAAATATATATTGTAATCATTTATATACATGAAAGCTTTCAGTCTGTTTCGGATTGTCATCACTTCAGCGACACTGATGAACACATTTTATTTTTTTGTCTAACTATTAAAGAGTATTTGTTAGAAAATGGCAAAATTCCAAGCAGTGGTTCCTTAAATGACTAATGGCTGTTCTTACACAATGTAGCCAAAGCAAGTATTCAGCTAGAGACACAGCATCCTGAAGGCATGAAGAAGATAAAGCAACTGGAAGAAGGACGTGCCCCTGCTCGTCCAGATGAACCAGACCGTGCGTTTGAAAAGCCTATCTTTACCCAGCTACTTACTGGCCCATCTGAACTATGGGAAGGACAGCATGCTCACTTTGAGTGCCGTGTTGTTCCTGTTGGTGACCCAAGCCTGAGGTTTGAATGGTTCGTCAATGGCATTGAACTGAAGATGGGTATGTTCTGACCTTTAATCACTTTATTGGTTGTGATGTAGACATGAATGTTTACTAATGAACTACTTCTGATAATATCATTTACTTTAACCAAGGTTCACTGATGCTGTAAGGCAGACCCTTAGTTGCAGTCTTTGTACACATGAAAGTCAAATTTCCAGTCATGCATGCATGAAATCTTAACATAACATTGTGAATTAAAAGTTTATGTGCTTCCAATTGCTCCCAGTTGCCTGACAGATTTTAGTAACAAATCAGTTGACTAACATTTGGGATGAGCTTAAGGAAATAATTAATATTGCTTCAGCCATGCAAACTAATAAGAGAATATGAGCAATGGTAACTGATTCCTTTAAATATTGCTTTCCAGATGAATTTGGGTATATCGTGAACACTCAGCTTCCAGGTATTGGTAACACACTAAATTACGTTATGGTGGAGGCATTTGGTTAAGAAATAAAGAATTATAGCCAAGAAAATAATATGCTTATATGTGGGAGAGGTTCTTGCTTGCAGTTAGCAGAAATGTCCTTTTTAAACAGTAAAAATGAATGTATATAGATAAGAATTTTGTCCCTGTTTACCAACAGCATTAACCCTTTGACGTGGTCATTTAAATTCCGCGGCCGCGGCTCCTGCGGTAATATATTCAGCCGGCCATTTAAATTTTGCTCGAAAATTATTTATTCATCATTGTTCTTAAATTCTATGAGATAGGAACATGAAACTTTCACTAAAATGATCTTAAATTGTGGTTTTATAACCTTACCTTATAATATGNTCAATTATTATGGGCGTTATAACATAGGTGTGCAGCTGAACGAAACATACACGTCGAACCCCCCCAGACGATTTAAATCCCTGACGAAACATACACGACGAACCACGGCAACGGGTTAAACTTTTATCCAGACGATTTTTTTTAATGTTAGAAGTTGAACCTTGTATTAAAGATTAATATGCTCTATTATGTTCTTAAATTTAATAATATGGGTTGTGAATTGTTTGGTAGCATCTGAGGATAGCAGATATATTTTGCATATACAAGTTTTCGTTAGCTGCAAGGAATGTATAAGAAAGTTAAGAGCAGATTAAACTCTGGGAATGCTTTCTATCATGCAGTACAAAATGTTTTGTCTTCTCAAGTCCTGTATAAAAATGTAGAAAACTGTAATAAAGATTTGACAAATACATCCCAGGACTGAGTACTTTTTCAAGTGAGCAAATCAAGGAGGGTGTGATGGATGGGATATGTAGCAAGCATGGGACAGATGAGAAATGCATATATAACTTTGTTTGCAAAAGCTGAAAGGAAGATACCACTTGGGGGATACAGGCATAAATGGCAGGATAATATGAGATGGGTCTTAAGAGAATAGGGGTTATGAGTTTGTAGACTGAAATTGTCTGGCTGAGGATTATGGTGGGCCCTTGTGAATGTGATGATGAACCTTTGGGCTCCATAAAAGTTTTGGATTTATTAACCAGCTGAGCAGCTTCCCAGGAAGGACTCTGTTGCATGATGTGAGAATTCCATGGTTCTTATATATTGATATTTGAGTAAGATGAATTTTTTAAAACGCATGAAACTCAATCCATTTTTCTGGTTTGATAATCAGTTAACTAAGATATGTTAATTGTGTGCAGTTTTATGTGAACAGCATGTTTGTATTCCATCATTTATTAACCACAGCATGTTTGAAAGATAATATTATACAAGAGAAAATAATGTCAAAAACCAAGAGCTGAAATAATAAAAAGTGTTGTACCATATGTGTCAAGAACAGTAGCATACATTTCTGAAAGAATAGCAAGCAGTTTTGAGTGAATTTCCTTTTGCATTGAGTTGAAAATGTTGTAATATAATATGGAAATCAATCCTAAAGCAGTCGCCAAATGAGATTACTAATTATTTCCTTTGATTCAAAATAATATCCAGTTTTAGTTTGGCACCAAACTGCAGGAGAATTCAATTATGTATAATGTTAGTAGCTGGGTAACTATATTATCATTGATATTTGTCTGGTGGTAGAAAACTAATTATGAACTTTATTATAATCTGAAATTCTATGATTCCAAACAATTATTTAGTCTTTGTTATTTTTCAGGATCTCGCTTTCATGTTACACATGATTTTGGATTTGTTACTTTGGATATCCATTCTGTGGTTACTGAGGATTCTGGAGTGTATATGTGCAAAGCTATAAACAATGCTGGAGAGGCAGTATCCTCAACATCCCTTAAAGTCAAATGTAAGTCTTGAGAATAAATAAATACAGTAAAACTTGATTATAGCAACATCGGTTTCTGCGACACCTTGTCTATTGCGTCAAATATTCAATGGTACGAACTAATTCCTCATAAAGCAACTGTTTTTATACCTTGCTTAGTACGACATGCACAAATGCATCAACCTCGTATGTAACGTCATTTTCATTCCTGAATTTCTCTGATATGGACATTGAACGTAATTTAGAAAGTGTGTATTGGGCAAGTAACAGGAAACAGATGAAGATAACTGATTACTGTACTCGTATCTAGGTACAGTAAGGCACAGCAATTGATGTAATCTACTGTAATTTGGTGAGTAGGCCTACCTTTAATATACAGTATTAGTGCGGTGTGTATTGTCAGTGAAAAGCGCTGTAATATGTCTTTGATATTACACATTTGGGCAGTTCCACGTTAATGTTACGTTAGTCTGTACTTAACTACGTATTTCACTAAAAAAATGCAACATTTTAACTCGGTTTTTGGTAGATTTTTACGTGACTAACATAAGGCTACTGTGGAAGTGCCCATTTCGGTTACAACGACATTCGTTTATAACGACACTATTTTTAGGTCCCTTTGATGACGTTATAACCAAGTTCTACTGTATTATGAAATGTTTATAAAGGAAGGTGCTGAAATATTTATCAGAATGACCAAAAATGAATTTTAATATATGCAATGTAGTGTTACATGATTAAGGAGACTGCACTATCTTGATATAAAACAGCATCTAACCGCTCATGATCATGAAGCTCATTATTTAAAATGTACACCGGTTATATATTGAATCTACAACTTTTTGTATGCGTCACGTTTTACTGTGAGTTTTTCCTGCCCACTGTTTATTCTTGAGATTTGCTTTTCAAGCCATTGTCTACCATGGTCCTGGTTTTTGGGCTTGATGTGCATAACTTATCCATGTATGGAGTAATGGAAAGTGTTATGTTTGCTGACCACTGAGTACAATTAAATGAGACATTAAATAAATATGAAAATAAAAGCTGCGTGCTCCTTTAAGTTTATTTTATTAGCAGGAAATAAATTTCCTGTTTTTGTTGCATACAGCATATGGCATTGGTCAAAATTAATGTTGTTATGTAGAACATCATGAATTAGAATGCTTTTCTTTCTCTTTCTTTTCCAAAATTCTTCATGAAAATGTCAACTGAGTGTAGTGTGACACACAGATTATATTGTATTGTATTGTATTGTATTAGTGTATTTGTGATACATTTTAATCGGTATATATTCAGACTATAATTCTTACTTTTATGATAAAGGTAGATGATCAGAGAGTCACGTTTATTGCAGCTCGTTCATCAATTGTGGGTGAGCCTCTACAGCCTGATGCATGGCAGAAGATCCAGCTGAAAGAAGCAGAGATGAACAAGGTACCAGAAATGTTTGTGGACACAACACCACAGCAGGCACCAGTGTTTACCACTCATCTGGTGAGCCATGACAAACTGGTTGAAGGACAGCATGTTATGTTGGAGGCACAAGTGGAACCTCGTGCGGATCCTAACCTTCGAACAGAGTGGTTTAAAAATGGAGTCTCTCTCACAACTGGTATGTATTATGATATTAAAATTTCAATTTTGGTTTTGAGGAAAGGTGAAATGATAGGACAGATGAATTTAATACTTCAATGTGAGTTTTGAGAGATATAAGAAATATTGGTATAGAACATACAGCTAGGACTCTGAAGAAGTTGAATTAATGTCAGTATCAACTGAAATTAATGGGTGAAGAACAGTGTAATAAAGGAAATAAAATTCTGGACTGAAAAATTATGAAACATCTGTTTGAAAATGCACATGAAGGTAATTTCTTGTGATACTTTCATAGTATATCAGAATAAAGGGAGACTGATTTTGTGATTAAATAACTTTCTTTTTCTTAAAATGAGCCTTTTGGAAAATCTTAAATTATATATTGTACTAAAAATCGAGAAAGATGTGGTAAGAACTTTTTTTTTTTAATCTGAATTCTGTAGGAGCCTCTTATGAAATTTAGAGGCCTGTGCTTCATAATCAGAAATTATAATTTCCTGATCCTAAGTTAACCATATTTTGTCATTAAATATAGCATCTATGTTATGACGAACAGTAAGTCATAATTTAATTAACAGTTTATTACATTTTTGTTTTACTATGCAGTGTCTTTAAAAGTCTACATATTGTTGTGCTTTTTTGCATGTAAATAATGTAGAGAGATAATAGTTTCTTGCCTTTTGGTTAAGTATTTCAGACTGTGTTAGTACTTTAACATCAGTTATACCTGCCATAAATCTTTCAACAGGTACTCGACTCCGAAGTACATTTGATTTTGGTCTTGTTACCCTGGTTGTTAATGGGCTGAGAGCAGATGACTCTGCAATTTATACATGCAAAGCAACAAACCTACTAGGAGAGGCAGTGTCCACATGCACACTCAAGGTTGAAGGTAATGAAAGAAATTCTCATTTAAGAAGGCTGACAGTGAATATAATTTGGGTACCAGTGTTTTATAGCAATTGTGAGAGCAGTGGCGTGCCGTGCATGGAAGCGAAGGAAGCATTGCTTCCATGGTTAAGAAATGAAAAGAAAGGAAGTCATATATAAATAATTCAATTTGAATAATAAGGATGTGGATATTGTCATCTTAACATTTTAGTGTGTGTTCCTATTCAAGGCCAGGTGTCTACTCCTCCTCCCTTCCCTGCTTGGTGGGCTGGGCCAAGTTTCCTTTCGTTAATCTTCGTACGAATTCATCTCACCTGCCTGAAATTGTCAAGGGAAGCATATTTTGGTTTGCTGGCTCTAGGCGTGTGGTATGGAAGTGAAGGATTGTGTTCTTTCAATGGTTATTTGAAAATTAACTGTTTATGTGTGATTTCAGTCTTGTTTTTAAGTTTTATTAAAATGTTGTAAGTGCATATTTAGATGGCGTAAGATTGTATTTGTGATCGTATTTTGATGCATCAGAAAGAAGCTATCTGCATTTAATGGAAGCAAGTGTGATATTGTGGTACAAGTGGCAAGGGAGTGGTTACACTACATGCACAAGGCACAGCTAGAATGAATGCTGGCAGACAACGCGACTGCGACGGTGCAGTAAAAAGCCTTTTAAAATGGGGGTTTAATAGCAGAGACTTTTCTGAAAAGAAAATAATTATAGAAAGAGGATGACTGTCATGCCAGTTGCCAGAACTTAAAGCACAAACCAAATTATGTGTGAGGAAGTTTAATTTGGAACAGTATTCTAAAACAGAATGGCTGTCCGGTTGCTGTAATATAGGAAAATTGTTTTGTTGGCCATTCCTATTGTTTCTCAATGAAAAAAAATGCATGGAATAAGACTGGATTTAGTGATACCAACAAACTTCATAAAGCATTGAAATGACATGAGAACTCTCAGACTCATATTATTTCAACAGTGCAACTTGTTATGTTCGGGAAATCTCGAATTGACTGTCAACTTGACAATCAAAAGCGCCAGCCGATACTACATAGAGAAATAATGAAATGCTCGATTGATATCATCTGCCATTTAGAACAGAGGCAACTTGCCTTCCGTGGTCATGACGAAAGCATGGATTCTGTCGACTGAGGCAATTATGTTTAATTAGATCACCTGTTGAGGAAATATGATCATAAACTCAATATTCACCTTGAGAACAGTACAGTATTTACAGGTTTATCAAACAGAATACAAAACAGAGAACAGATTTGGTCTTCAAATAAATTTTGGAGAGCTGATGGCTATCAGTTCATTTATTAGATACCACTGCTTCCCTTACCAAATACAGTACCGCACGCCATTGCATGAGAGGAAAGTGTAATTGTTTGACTGTCAGGTATTAACCCTAGGACTATCGCTGTCAAAACTCGTACTCATATGTCATTCTTTGCTGCCAGCATCAGTTTGTTTGTGTGTTTGTATACTTATCTTGCCCATGAGTTCCCTTTAATCAACCCTGGGGAAATACACACACACATACATACATTGAAACATGCGTGCACGGACACACACACACACACACACAATACACACACAGACACACACACACACACACAGATATGCACAAAGGTGTATGCACATATGATTGTAAGTTTTGTGATAGTAAGTCAGCCTATCCAGTGGATACTAGGAGCTCTGTCCCTAAGTGTAAAGGAACCAGAACATGAAGCTCCATCCAGAACTGATGTTAAAAATGTGTGGAATTATCTTCTCATTTTCCTCATACATCTTCCAGATGGGATGGTCAAACAGATTACCTCACCTTTGTTTGTTTAAATTTAAAAGTTGTACAAATGTTTACATTTAAGATTCATCAAAAATACAGGAAGAGATGTGTTGAAAAAGTATCATTGTATGGTGTTTTAGCATTTTCACATTATTGCAGAGAGAACAAGGAATATTAATAAAACTGCTTATAAGCAGAGGCTTGTATTCTGAATAAGTGTTGAAATAGTGTATTTTCCCTGTATTCTGTAAGTAAGTGCTGTGTGTCAAATGATCATTGAACAAGTGATATAGTCCTAATGACTTGGGGGTAAGACATTTTATGCAGAAATCAGAAGAGTCACGTACTCTTTGCTGCCATTCATTAAGAAAAAATCTGACTAAAAGAAAGTGTGTATAAGTGGTGAATCATAGACCGTACTGTAAAGGATTGTGATTAATATGCACCTTTTTTGTAATGAAATATGTTCTTTGATAAAGAAAATAATGTGCATATCTTGTTATATTTGTTTTATGTAAGTAAAAGTTCTGCTTATGTCAGCAATTTCTTAATGTAGTAAGTAAAATTACATTGTTCATTTTCAGATCGTCACTGGTTGCTAGGTGGCTCACTGCGGCCAGAAGCTCTCCCTATCATTGAAGGTTTGGAAGCACCAAAAGGTGGACAGATAGAAGTTCCAGAACCTGTATATGAATCCCCAGTGTTCATTACTCACCTAAATAATGTGGAATGTAAGGAGGGTGATGCAGTGCACTTTGAGTGTCATGTGGAACCATCTAAAGACCCTACACTCAATATTGGTGGGTAGCATTCTTCTGTATCCATTGCTTACTTTTAGTGTCATAGATAGAATAGTTGAATATGGAATGAATTTCACTGGTTGCAAAGAATGGATGGAAGCAGATTTGATAAAAGATTATTTTCACAGAATGGTTTGTGAATGGCAAGCCACTTCCATCTGGAGCCCGATTCAAATCAACTTATGACTTCGGATATGTGTCTTTAGACATCAATCATGCATACGCTGAAGATTCTGGAATTTACATGTGCAAGGCAACCAACAATAAGGGCCAGGCACAGACTTCAGGCACATTGAGATGTATCAGTAAGTAGTTTCAGTGAATGCTGTATTGTCATAACACTATTGAGAATATTTTCTTGTAATGTTTTACCATTTTTCTGCTTCAGGCAAAGCTGATATCTACCTTGACACTCAACACCCACAGGGTAAAGCAGGTTTTGAGAAGGTAAAAGAAGCTGAGGATGCATATCTTTCAAAATATCAGCGTCGAATGTCAGGACCAGATGCTACTTATCCCAAACCAGTTTTCACCACTCCTCTGGAACCAAAATTCTCCCTTGGGGAGGCTGAACCTCTGCATCTTGAATGTACTGTTGAGCCTAAAGAAGATCCCAACCTTAAGGTTGAGTGGTACTTCAATGGAAAAGCTTTAGAACATGGTATGTTGTTTGCGGAAAGTACCACTTTATTAGGATTTTTTACTGTACAATACTTCATTGAACTTAATTATTAACTTGTTTAATTCCTGCATTTATAGGTTCTCGTTTCAAGATGACCTGTGATTTTGGTTATGTTACACTTCACTTGACTGATGTGTATGAGCGTGATCAAGGCATCTACACTTGCAAGGCTTACAATCTGGCTGGAGAGGCTTTCACTTCAACCACCATCTATTGCACAGGTGAATATTAGACCTATTCCATTAATGTAGTATTCTAATGAAGTGAAAACTTAAGTGTATATTTTTTAAAGTCCTATAATTAAATACTAGAATCAGAATGGCTGAAGCTAATTTATACAATTTCCAAATATCAAAAGCATTAAAATAGGTAGTTCATAGATAGGTTATTGAAGTTCAGTAAATTACTATGGTGTCATTTGCTCTTCAATGCTGTAGGTAAGGAAGGTCTCATAGAACATACACAGCATCCCAAAGGAGCAGAAGGCCTGGAGAAGATCCAGGATCTGGAAGAATCTCTGAGAAGACAAGAAGGAGCTCTGCCTGAAGGAGAAGAGGGACATCCTCCAGTGTTCACATCTCAGGTACCTAGAGCTATGAGTAATGGGTGTGGACAGTGAATTTAACTCTGTTGATCAGATTCATTCTTGATAAGTCAATAGGTGCTCAGCTAGATAGAAAACTCTCCAAATTTTATAAAACCCAAACATTCATTGCCACATTCATGAGATCCTGCAACTGAATCCTGTTATGAGGCATGAGAATTCATGTTACATCTTCAGTCTGATTTCTTGATCCACTTTACAGTTATTCTTCTATTTGCACGTAGGTCTGTGAAGTTATCTTTTTCTGTCAGGTTTTCCATTTACAATTTTATACCCATTTCACATCTCTTTAATGCATGCTACATACCATACCATCTCATTCTCATTGATTTGATCATCCTTATAATATTTGATGAAGAGTATAAAATCACGAAGCTGTTCGTTTTGTAGTTTTCTCCATTCCCCCCTCTTGGGTCAAAATATTATTCTCAGCACCCTTTTCTCAGACACTGGTATTCTGGCTCTCTTGCTGTGAGAGACCAATTTCACACCAGTATAAGCAGCAAATAGAATTTTATATTTTAATCTTTGCATTTTTAGATAGGAGATGGTAGACAAAAGTTATATACACATGTCAAGTAGTGCCACTTGCTGTTCTGTCAATCATTACCATGAAAATAAAATGAGCCCTTGTTATTATTTGCCCTTCTTCTTTAAAGGGACATATTGAACGCTATTCAATATGGCGTCGGAGGAAGTGCTTTCAATTTGCTCTAGTTATATGTTTGAAAATCACAGGGTAAATGAAGTTAATAAGTGCTCAAATTGTTTTAGAATGAGGAATTATTTAAAGATAGTGATTACTGAATTAAAATCTGCGCAATCAATAATAAAAATCTTAACTGAAGATGTTAATGTGAACGAAAGCAACATTTTGGTACCTTCCGAGGATGGCTCAAATTCACAGCCTCATCATTATGTGAATACGGTAGGGGATTGTGCGTGGACTGAAATTTCGGGAAAAAATCGATCAACTAAACTGCAGGTTCAAACTTCAGATTGTTTCAACCATATAGAACACTCATCTCATGAATTACCTTTAGAAACGAAGTATTCAATTCCGATATCTAATCGTTTCTCACCTTTTGTCAACAATTATGGACCTCAAGGGAATAATCTTGGAAGTTTACCTCACAAGAAATACAAGAAATTTAAAGAAACTTCTAGGGATAAAACTTTGTATATGAATTACCATCAGGATATTATAAACAATGAACAAAAATTTATTCCAACTATAGTGAATGGTGAAATTTGTGCTAGTGACAATGGAAAACATGATGCTAAGTATAAGGACGTATTCAAGATAGAATAAATATCTTGAGCAAGTCTATAAATGAAAGTAATAGTGTTAATAATGCTTTATCTGATAAACATAGAGTAATTCTTGTGGGTGATAGCCACATTAGAGGTTACGGAGGGAAACTGTCTTCCTTACTTAGTAAAAACTATGAAATTTATAGTGTAGTAAAGCCTGGATCAAATTCTTGTGAACTAAAAGCTTCAGCTAAGGAGAGATTAATTGCTTATCTTAAAATGATTTAGTAATAGTCTGTTATGGATCAAATGATTATGAAACGAATGAATTCTCTTTGACCTTAAGGAATATCTTAGAGTTTATACTAACTAATAATCACATGAACATTGCTGTGTTGAATGTGCCTCTCAGATACAATTTACAGAGTGCAAACTTGATAAATAATAGCATATCTATTTTAAATAGGAAAATGAAGAAACTAATAAAAGTTTTTCCTCATGCTAAGGTTATTGAAACTGATAATAATAGAAAGTTATTCACAATGCATGGGCTACATAGAAATGAATTAGGGAAACGGCTGGATAATTATTTGATAGCATCTTTTGTCCAAACATTTTTTGAACAGAAAGTTATCTCTTTAATTCCAATGGACTGGCATAAGGAAATGCAAGCGGAAGGGAGTATGAATGATATAAGCAACACCTCTAGATTAGTTAGGGAAGAGATTGACGGAAGTGTAGGAAATGGAGACACAGGCATGAGTAATTTGAGAGTGATGAAGACAAGAACATCCAAGAGAGTGGAAAAAGCCCCTGTAACCAAAAAAATTTTTTATGCTAGAAATGTCTCCTACGCTAGGTAAATCGGGGATATCCTGTAATGTACCTGATTATTTGGAAATTAAATGGTCTAAAGAGCAGCTGTCACAAATACAAGTAGCTAATTCTAGTCTATTGTTAAATAAAGAGTCATCTAAAAATGTAACTAAGGTGGCTCTTCAAATCTATCACAAGAATATTCAAGGACTGCGATGCAAAATTGATGAGATTAAAAATTTTTTATATGTGGATTCTCCTCATATTGTGTGCCTATCGGAACATCATCTTAATCAGTCAGAGATTGAGACTGTCCGACTTGACAACTATACCCTGGGAGCTAGTTATTGTAGGCACTCCATGAAAATGGGTGGTGTCTGTATTTATGTACAACAAAGCCTAAGTTTCTCCAAGTTAGATTTGAGTAGCTACTCCACTGACCAACATTTTGAAGCCAGTGCAATTTTTTTAACTAATTCCTTTGACTATATTTATATTGTATCAATTTATCAAGGTCCAAGTGGTAATTTTATCCTCTTTTTAAAAAAATTGGAAATTAT